CGGCTTTTCAAGCCGAGATTGGGATGGGAGGAAACAGGTGCAGGAATTTTCCTCTGAGTGAAATGGTGGACAAGTTAACGGATGAGAATGCTAGACCTCCTATTCGTAAAGCCGTCAAGCAGTTCATGCTGCTTGCTCTTGCCACGCTGCTCCAACCATCATGGTCACGGAATTGTGAGCTTGACTATGCGGAGTTCCTCGTTAGGAAGATTGAGCGGATAAAAAGCTACAACTGGTTTGGTCTTGTTGTAGCAGAACTGAAGAGTAGTCTTGCTGCGGTTCAAGGAAAGGCATTCATTGACTAGGTCCATGGAGATGTCCATTTCCTCGTTGTAAGTTTTAAGTATTTGTTCTTTCATTTATGTTTTTGAATATGTGTGATTGTTTTGATTATTAGTTTTAATGTGTTTGATTATATTGAGTGTATGTTATTTGAATATGACTCTGGTTTTTTTTAATATGAGTCTGGGTTATTTGAATATTAGTTTTATCGTGTTTGAATAATACTTTGAATGTGTTTGAATATGAATTCGAATGGTATCAACTCTTGCGAGCCCCACGAACCATCAGATGAACCATCCACTTTGAGGATGGTATCAACAAGATCCACCTCTTCTGGTTCGTCTCCTTCGACATAACCTTTATCGTTTTCAGTCGACATATCTTCAAGGTGGACCTCCTCTTCTGGTGCGGCATCTCCTTCGACATCATCCCCCATCTTCGACAAACTATCTTCCTCTGGAGTCTTTTTATTCTCTTCGAAGGACCGATCTTGCATCAGACCTCCCCTTCCTGCGTTTTCAGGTGTTCTGGATTCTGGTCTTCAATGGCGGCAAGGCGGACGGAGAGAAAAAATGAGGAAGAATAGAGCTGTGAGATTGAGAGAGAGAGCTTGGTAGGTGGGTGGAATTAATGAAGCCAATTTTTGGGACTGGATTTTTCACCCTAAATCTTTAAAAAACCCAAAAAATTTGCCTAGACCCCATCCATCTCTCACTCCTCGACCCCACCAGTACCTTAAGCTCGGCTTCCCCACAGCTCAAGCGCGACTCGTCTCCTTCCCTGAGCCCGTCCCGTAGCCGCCTAATCCTGGCCCTCCGTTGCTGGCTTGGGCGATGTGGCCCACCCCCCGCCGTGTGAGTTGGTGCACACAAAATTCTGTGTGTGTACCATAGTGAAATTGAATCCCAAATGGGCCCAAGCAAATATATTAGGCCAATGTTACGGTGCCGCAGAAAAAAGTACGCTGACGCAAGTTTTGATTGGTCCATGTAGAAATGATGTGGCATGGATTGAGTTGAATAAATTGGAGCTCAAATTCGTTGACCCATCAGAAATGCCCCGAACCCTCACTTGACCAAACAAATTCCTTCTTTTCGTTTGCTCCATTTGTGGTAGTTGTTTTATTTCATTAAAAATTCACACTTCATAAACGCAAGTTAATTTGGTAATTCATAAAAAAAGTTAATTTTGTCGCTAGAAATAGAGACGCGAAGCAAAAGAAAGCTTATCGTCGTCATTCACCTATTTCTCCGACGGACTCTCATGGACTTTCGACGACTCCGTCGTGGATCCAATTTCAAGTTCTACTAAACGGCTCCACTGGAATCATTCTCCATTGCCTCATTCATTTATTCTATTTCATCCATAGTCACTCAAATTAGTTCAGCAGTTCAAGTTTGGTCACTCTCTGTTAGTCTCCGTTAACTTTAGCTGACGTGGCAATCAACTCTAAGAGTTAACCGTTAAATAAGTGACGTGGAAATTAAAAATAAAAAAATAATCTTTTAAACATTCCACCTCATTAACACAATAAATTAAAAAATAATAATAATTGCAATAAAAATGAAAAATTGGAAAATCAATCCCAAAATTGTCCTTCCGTTTCAGTTTAGGAAAACGATGGTCGACGGCAACGGAGATGGTTCTACGGGTGAGCTGCCGGAGACGGCGGAGCAGCTGTGAGGGTTGGGGTTTTTGGCTCTGCACAATGAAATTTGAGACCGGATGATGGGAGGGAAAGTTGTGGGTTTCTGAAAGGGAGACCAAATTGCAGTGGAAAGAAATTGGGATGCGGGTTGAAGAAGAGAGGGAGATTGGAATGAGGTCGGACGGGACATCGTCACCTGAGATAACCTGAGCACTACGGCGGAGATGTGAAGTTGTGTGTGTAGGAAGGTCCGAAAAGGTTTGTCGGCACATGGAGGATAATTAGGATGTGCGTGCCACGAGCCCACCCACATCCATAGCTTCCACAATTTAAAGCACCCTCGTTAAATAGGATGTGAGAATGAATTTTTTTTCCAATTTTTCATTTTTTGTTATTGCAATTATTATTATTATTATTTATTATTTTTCAATTTATTGTGATAATCATATAATTAGTGTGTCTTAGTTTTCCACTATAGTATTGATGCTAACATGTCTGTTTTCAAAAAAAAAATGTTTGGTTTTTCTAGGTTGCTCCTGAGCTATCATTCATGGAAGCTGTTCAGGGATGCACAAAAATATCACATTTTAAACTGACGTTCCTTGTGAAACATGTTGTACGTACAATTTCTTGACTGGCCAACACCATTTCAACTTACTATACTTGGCATCTTCTTATCAAAATTGCTTAGTTGGAATTTCGTTTGCATTCATTTTCAAGTGGTGAAGGTGTACCTCCTGGTGTAAAACCTCAAATCTATAAGCGCTGCAAAGGAACCAACACGGTTAGTATTCTAAATTTTAACTTTACTAAGACCAGGGGTTTATGCCAGGTGTTCTTGACAAGGGGTTAGACTATGTATGTGTTTGCACAAAAAGGGTTTTTCAATGTTCAGCACACCTGCAATCAATGTGGCTGTGTAGGTCAAACTTTATCGGTATGGTGGAAACTCAATTGAATTTTCAATTTTCAACTTTTGTGTTTTTGTTACTTGTCTTGCACAAATTCATACCATCAATCTAAACCAGATTGTTCCCATAACAAATCGTTTGATCATCAATGTGTAGACTAACTTGTTTGATTGCAGAGCTTTTACAAATCAAGTAAAGGGCGCAAGGTAAAAACCAGTGGCGGAGCCATGAATTTTATATAGGGGTATCCTTAACCTCAATTGCTTCTGATGACCGGTGAACATAGTTTAACTTGAGATACAAACACGTAATTAAAATGCCTAAACTGATGTAATAAATCCCTTCAATAGTTAATTCTAGTCTTCAGATTTATTTTATTTTCTGGCTCCACAATGGAACTATAATTTCTTCTTTCATCTTTTCACCCAAGTTTCTTGTTCATTGTAGGAGTTGATGATAATGAAACAATCAAGGTGCCTAAGAGTGGTGGAGCAGACCCTAACAGAAACCACCCTGGTGATCTCCTCGTCAACATAAAGGTGGCATTCTTTGTGAAGAAAGCTAAGTTTTATTTGGTATATTAAAGAAGAAGCTTGGCCCTTATTCACAATGCTTATAATACAACTTGTGTATCCAGGCAACATGAATTGCAGGAGGACTTCACCAATGAAAACAGGGAGAACTCGACAAGGGTGCTGCAGCTGGGGCATCTCGCTAACTGGTGGAACCACAGGACTAGTAAAAGTGTACCATGCACACTGAAAGGAGTCGAGCAGCTAGATGATGAGTCTTCTCCCATGTCCCCAAAGTTTTTTAGTAGAGTATGTAATCTACTTTTCTTTACCAGTAGTCATTCTTAAAGTCCATAAATCATAATTAGAAGAAAAGAAGCACCATCTCTGCTCCTGTAAAACTACCATCCTTGTACATGCCATCATAATCTCAAACTGTTCTTCCTCAGGGCAGTTAAGTCTTGAAGCAAAAGAATGATGATTTAGACATTTGACCTCGAATTGGTGAGAGTGGGTCTTGAGCATTAACAGCAGAATGCTCATGTGAGTGCAATCCACTGATAGATTCAGCTAAAATTGTGGACTTTTCTTCTTGTTGTACGTGTTCTCCTATCTTGAGGATGATAGGGTTTGTGGAATTGGGGTTTGCGAAAACCAGAAAGAAGCAATAGAGCTATAGTGTTGTGAGAGAATAACATTGTTTTTTTTTTTACAGAGAATATCATTGTTAGCATTGATACAAAGTATATATAGGGAGAAACAAGCTGGAACCGTCCGCTTTAATTTACGGGGATGAGTTGTCAGACCTCGCTAGAGAATCTATAATTTTATCCAAACTTTTTTTAATTCTTTTATATTATTTAAATTTATCGAAATACAAAAATTAGTCAAATGTTTATTTCCGTTAGCAATTTTGTTAGTAATATTGACTTGACAACATGATACTGAATTGGAAGAGAAACATGAAGGTCAACATTCCAAAATTTTAGTATTTTAACTAAGAAAATAGTTACAAATTATTAACGATAACGTAAAATGACTAATATTTTGATGAATTAGGAAATATTTGACTAATTAATAGCATTTCAACAGGGTTGGATAATATAAAAGAATCTAAAAAAGTTATGATAAAAAATAGACATTAATTCGGGGAGAAACTGAGAAAGAACACAATAACGAACAAGGTTGTCAACCCGCAGGTTGATACGGACCCGGTTAAAATAATGGGTCACCTGATTTAGCCTGGAAATATGGAAAGAGTCATTATGAGTTATAACATATAATATTACACTAAAATAACATGTCGTACTTAGATCCAACAAATAGTGAAAATTCACACACAATTATATAACATCAATATTCAAATGTTCAACTTAGGATTTCAAAGATTGAGGCGAAAAGAAAATCGGAAAATAGGGCATTTCGCAAACCAAAGAAAAAAATGACACAATTTGACCTCCAACCCGGTACCTTGTAGCGGTCGACCCGGTAAGTGCGTACAACCTGTTTTTCTCACCGGTTCAGGGTCAAAGTGGGTCGACCCGGAGTCGACCGCGGGTTGACAACCTTGAAATTAAGGAAACACCAGGTTGCATGTAGGCCCTCCTACTTAGCAAATTAATAATTCAAGCAATGGGCCAAAACTCCAGAAGTTCTTCCATCAACCTCTAGGGAAAGATGTTTTGGTTACAGATCTAAAAGATTCTTTCACCAAAAACATAATGAAAACATGAATAAAAAAGGGAGGTCTAATAGATTGGCAAAACAATTCTGCTGGAGACATGACCAGCTAGCAAGTAGAGTTACGTTGTAGATTCCTAAAACTCCGTAAGACTAGCTAATGCTCTTTCTGGGAGCTAGCAAGCAGTAGCAGCGCACAACCACCTCCATCTTTCATCTTATGGAGGTGAGGTGAGTAATTAGGTCTCCGCGGTGGAAGGATTAGTATGTATATGATTAACCAATTACCATATACATCTATCTGATCTGGCTGCTATGGAGGTAAGCCGGTTTGCTCGTTGATTGGCAAACGACCATTTCCTCTTAATTAGTTACCGTCATAGCCTCTCCTGGGCCAGGACAAAGGTATAAGTGAATTCATGAGTTGGCTTCCTTCAGCTATTCGTCGAACAAATATTTGGTTGGGTATAAGCTCTCTTTTTGGATCCCGCGTCTTCAAAGAGGTATGACTGCATGGGCAGGGGCAGAAACCTATCTACATGCATGTTATCACAGAGATGGTGAGGATGCATGCATGCTCCTAGCTACGAGGGGCGCAGCTTGCGTTCGGGCTAGCTTGCTAATCAATCCTCATGTATTAGCTAGCAGCTGGCGATCATAGTGAGAACCAGGCACAGACCTCAAGGCTCAAGCTAGCTTATCGACCAAGAGAGAAACGTAGTAGTACTAGATACCGCAAGATGAGGGAGGCTACGTAGTACGTACGTCGACCAGCGAGACCGCTCCCATGATCACGCCTGCGGCACAGCAAAGCACACTGCGGAGTCGAAGAGATAAGACATTAGCAATTACATAGCAATTAATAATGATTTATAAGAAAGCTGAGCTTGATAACTTAATAATTATTTATCGGCCCAGAATTGGAAATATAGATGCATGTCAAACCTGAATGCAGGGCTGTTGGGGTTGCCCGAGACGAGATGGGGTTTCCGTAATGCTGAGGAGGATAACCTGGCCCTGCAGCAGCTGAAATATTATTAATGGAGGAATACTGGAAAAGTTGGTGGTGATGGTGAGGGTACTGGAAGCTGTAGCTTTGCGCCATAGCTGCTGCATAGGCGGCAGTACCAAACTGGACAAGTGGGTAAAAGGCCGCTCCATTGCTCAACATTCCTCCTCCTCCCGATCCTCCTCCTTCCACCCCACTCCCATACACCGGGAACTGTGACCCTCCGTATGCGTAGCTCTGCATCATCATATATCATCATGATCCATATATATATATATAGATTTGGTTATTGTTCTCAAGTTAGCATTTATAATACTAGAAAATAAGCCCGCTCGCTACACTTCGCATGAAGCGAAATGTAAAAAGATATATGTGAATAAATTAACTGGTAAGAAATTCAAACTAAAAATACGATAGGCCTAGCTCTATGTGATGAAAAAAGTATTTGGTAAAATCAAACATGGTAAGAGGCTCCACCAAATTGGAACATCTAAGCAACCGAATACTAATTGAGGAAACACATCTTGCAATAAATTGAAACAAACAATAAAAGATGGATTCGCTGGCTAATTAATAGGTACCTATTGGGAAAGAAAAAAAAACTCAGAAAATCTTTTATGAGTGTGGGACTTTATTAGAATTTTTTAGACTATATTAGTGTTGTTCACTTGCTCTTCAATCAGTACTATTGTAGCAACTCATTTCTCCCACTTTGTGTGTGCACTCGGATCTAGCAAATTACTAATTATTTTTAGTCGAAATTGAAAATGAGAAATTTTCCGCTGTCTTTCTATTTGAGCTCGAGCATTGAGAAATGTGCAAGAATGCAAAATCAAATATGAACAAAGTGGTGAATTTCATCACAATAAGAATACCAAACGGTATTACTAATTATTTTGAGTCAAAATTGAGAATAAGAAATTTCTCGTTGTCCTTCTATTTGAGCTCGAATCTTGAGAAATATCAAATACGAACAAAATGGTGAATTTCATGACAATAAGAATACAAAATGGTACATAAAAGAAATAAAAATCATTCAAATATTTCCAATAAAATTAATAAATGAAAATGGTGTTAAAATTACTAAAATAGAGGATGATGTGGGGGAAAGAAGAGGTTAATTGTTCAGTGGGCCCCACTTGATCAACTCTTGCCCCTAAAGTTTGGATTATTTACAAAATAACCTCTTAATTAATAGTAACACCAACACTATACTTTTTATAATATAAATAAATTAAGAGAGGAATCAATTATTGTACAAACCGTTGGATAAGTGTAGTCTTGGGGATATGTGGAGTACCTGGATGAAGCAGATATCACGGCAAACATAAGATTAGGCTCTGATATGGTGGGGTAGCTAGGTATAATCCATGGATAAAATTATATAAATAGCACACACAGATCAGATCGTGCGTATAAGCAATATATATGCATGCATGTATGTATTGTATGAGAGACTTCACGCAATTATACTGATGGATGTATTTCTGATTTCTATATAATAACTACATTGACTAAAATTGAGAAGAAAAAAACAAAACTAAGGCTAGCTAGCTAGCTAGCTGTTAAACAAGTTTTGCCGTGGGGGTGGCAGCAGAGAGTGAGTAGAGATGGGCATGTGCTAATGTCTTCGGAACATGGATGGAGTACTAGTTCAGATGGATGACATTCCTTGCTGGCATGGCATGCACGCTAGCTAGCTGCACAGTTAAGAATCTCTATGCCCACGCTAATGCTTACCGCACTAATTAATCAAGTAGTAAACATTCTCACTGCTAGACACAAAATTTTGGTGCAGCGGTTAATTGACTAAAAGAGTTCGAATTATCTGAAACAATTTAGGATTATATTTCAACACGATTCATTTATCTATCATTTTAAACAAGAATTTACTATGTACGAACACTAAGCTAATGTTATATATGAAAAATCAGTTGGTTCTTGACCAAAGCCAGGAAATGTGCGTATGTATAGACTGCTACAAATGGGCAGCAGGTCCGGTCTAGTTATTTACTAACTCTTATCCAATAATTAGGTGAAAAGTTAAGTTGTGATTTATTTACACCACCCGATTACTTAAATGGAGAATAATACATTGTATGTTATGGATAAAGAGTAGACATCATCAAATGATGCATGGATGACAAATTGACAATGGAAGCACGCTCGACAAAAGTAAGCAGCTGGTTCAGTTTGGTTAGCGTGAGTTGGCATTCACGTGGTTTCTGAAGATGCCAAGGGAAAGTAGGGGGAAATTAAGCTGAGAGAGAGAGAGAGTGCCCACCCATAAACATTGTAAGGTAACGCTTGCTGGACATAATGAGGAAAAGCTGCTGCTGGCAAAGCTTCTCCACCGCCACCACGCCCTGTCTGGAGAAAAGGGCTTATTACCTTAAAGCCCTTCTCTGGCCCTGCTCATGTGCCCCGGCCAGGCCACCATCATTAGATTATAGATTAAGGTAGATATATATACAAACATTCTACACTCCTGTAGGTTGGCTATTTGGTCCGGACTATTTGGTTTTACCTAAAATCGGACCGTATAACCTGAATCGGGACCGGATAGCAAACAATCCAATCTCATATTCGGGCTTAGATTTGAGTTAAAAAAACCTCGGATAAAGACCGGATAAGGGACCCCAACACTCAAATCCCCACAAGCTCAATCTAAAATCAAGATCAAATTGGGACCGGACCGAATCAAGACCGAACTGTATCCAATCCAATCTTTGCGGATTGGGACCGGATCAATTTGGTCCAATTTAACCGGACCGAGCCGTATAGTCACCCCTACCTACTTAGCTGGCTAGATAGCTACTACGTACTTTTCCAGCTTGTATAAATCAGTCGATATTCGTCCCTCAACTTTGCCAGTTTTCTTCGTTCAAATACCTCAATCTATTAATGTTAATAATATAGGGATGACAAATTTATCCATACACATTGAGTATTTTGTTATCCAACCCAATTAGATTGGGTATAAAATCCAAATAGATGGTACCTATACTTATTAGATCTTTAGATTTAGTACTTAATTAATTTTTTTTGCATATACAACCTCAAAATATCGATGGAGAATTACATTTGAGTACCTAAATTTTTTTGAGTATTATATTTTCATACCTAAACTTTTTAAATTTTATAAATAGGTCGAATTTTTCTATGTGTAGTTAAAACACTCTCAAACAAATAGGTATCCATATCCAACCCATACCCATTTAGATTATAGAAGCAAAATCCAAATCCTACCAAAACTCATCTACAAGACTACAACCCAAACCTATATATACTTCACCCATGACCTAACCCCATGATCAATAGGTCTACTTGAATTTGGGTAAAATTACCATGAATGGATAATTGTCATCCCTTACATATGCAACTTGCTTGTGATATAAGACTTAAACCAAAACGTCGAGAATAAATTTTTGTCATGTGCGGAGTGCGGTTTGATATCAAAATGAAGAAAAAGATATTAGATACCGGGAGCAGGATGCTTTGGAGTGGAGGGTTTGGATCTCTGAACACCTAGAGAAGCCAAATTACAATTAGCCCTTCTGCCATCGATCACTGGAGCAGCATCGACACAGGCTCTCGCTGCTCCTTCGGGCTCCCGAAAAGTCACCTGAGAAATTGACCATCCACTACTTATAATTATTGCCTAATTACTTATGCGTATCGAGGAAACTAGATCGATCCAGTAGCAAAAAACAAGGTAATCTAGAGCAAACTAGCTAGCTAGATCGAGGGTAATGAAAATCATGAGCGAATTCATTAAGTGAATAGATAGATATATAGAGGTCTGAAGAGATCTGATTAATAATAACTTACAAATCCGTAGCCCTTGGATCTGCCGGTGGCCTTATCAGTGATGACAACAGCCTCCAAGATGTCGCCGAACTGCTCAAAGTACTTCTTCATAGTGTCCTTGTGGGTTTCCCAAGCCAAACCTCCAACAAACACCTTCGTGTATGTCGTGTCGCCAAATTGCCCGGCACCCAACTTTGCCGCCGTGCTCATGATCGCACCCACTAGCTACTACCCTTTCAACTTCAGATCGGTCGCTAACCAAAGCAGGGATCCAAGAGACAGATCGATCTGTGTGATAAACCTAGCTACCTACACAGCTCGACTACTATATTCACTTATTTCTCCCGAACAAATTAATCAGTTGGCTTGATGGTAGAGATCAGAAGAGAAGGCGGTAAAGATCAGTAGCGGCGGCGAGGTAGGTAATAGGCAAATAGCAAGCCAGAGAGAGGCGAGAGAGAGGCGACAATTAGGTCAGGAAAAAGAGCCAAGATGAAGGGAAAGCAGTCGATGGGTAGAATAGAGACTAGTACAAAGGAATAAAGCATCGGAGACCGACCGACAGGCACTTCTGGTTGGAAGGGCTAAATAATGGAAAAGGTAAAAATTAAAATAAAATCAAACAAAGGAACGAAAAGACAATAGGAGAAAAGAAAAGAGGGTAGGTAGAGGTTAACATTTGATTTATTTGAAGTGATAAATACTTATAATGTCTTAAATAAACATTGATTTTGCTAAAGAACAAAGTTTTAAAGAATCGTTATTTTTTTAGAATACTAATATAATTTTCAATTGAATAAATTTTCAACTTTGAGAGTTCAGACACACATTATAAAATCGATATAATGAAATTAAACATTGTTGGTTGTACAATTCCTATTGATATTCATAGAGTTGTCCACCTTGAGGCAAAAATGTCTCTTTCATTGGGTGTCCGACTGCATACAGATTACTATTCTTTATTATTGTTGATTTTGTATGTATGTTGTTCTGCAGGAGATTATCTTGGATAAAAGAAAATTCTCTATTCAACCAAAGCAAATTATACTTAACATACATTTAGGTGCTATATAAGTTATTGTGCATGTGTAACTTTCTATATGTAATGGCCTTTAAGTCTGAACAACGAACATGGTATAATTTATTTGGCCAGAACAAAACCTACTAATGACGTAGACCGTGAAGTTCTCCCTTGAAGTCATGTGAATACTGAATAGTGGTAAGGCAAATCAGTCAAAATTCCGATTTAAATTCTAAAATCCTACGATTTTACGACTTTACTTACCCATTCCGATCTTGGTTTTACTATAAAATCTATGCACCTTAAAATCCTATATTATTCATGATTTAAATCCTTGAAATTTTTAGAATCTTATGATTTTATGATTCAAATCTTAGTGTCAATTTTACTTGTTTTCCCCAAGATTCTTCAACATATTAATCATCATTGATTCACCACTTCCCAACATTCACTTTGATAAATTGGAACATTAACTTTGAGAAATTATCATCGTATGTGTTAGGTGTTTCTGTGTTATTCATGATTTTCCTTCAAAATATGATTCCTTCTTCGTTTTTTATGGACCTTAAAATCCTACGATTTTATGATTTCGATTTTATTTAAAATTATGATTTTGACTGCTATGAGTCAAAGCTAACTTAAAGCAAAATACACTGCCATAGCCACAACTTTCACTTTTGTTACAAATATAACCACAACTTTCACTTAAATTGAGAAATTGGAAATTGGCCTAATCTATGGCAGTACAACATGAGAGAAGAAAAGTACCCATTAACATAAGTCATCGGAAAAGGAAACTTGTCTAATAGACAATTGAAAATGTGGGTGAAAAAAAAAAGGAAATAAAAATTATTTTAAGGTATATCTTGTAAAGTCCTATAGCATGATTTGTTCAGTTGGGACGAGTTTATTCACAAAGAATAGCTCACTTCATCTTGAGTTCTTTGTCAGGAGCATCGGTTTTTTTATTCTGGCGTTGGGTCAATGCGCATAATGATGAGAAATAAACACCTTGCTCCAATGTGATTGTGGCAGAGGACGAAGACATTAGGACAAAGTAGGGTTGATAATAAGTTCGGTTCGGTTATAACCGGACCCGTTAAGCACTTTATGCTTACCGTTAACCGCACCATTTAAACTAGTCGATTAACCGTAACTGTAAAGTCGATTCTCGATTATTTTGTCGGTTAACCGGATAACCGTTAACTAACTGATTCGAAAAGGTTATACCAAAATAATTGATCGATAACCTAACCAACAAAAGACCTCATTTTTTAAATTGTGAAATTTTCTGTAATTTTTCATACATAGGCATGTGTTCTTTACTTAAATTGTTATCATTGAATAAAAAATAAATTCATATAGATATATATCAATAAATAATCAACTCAGTTCAACACAAGTACACAATAATACTGTTCTACCGACAAAGTATGCTTCGATGGAGATGTATGTTATGAGCTTGAAGGAGAGCTTGAAACTTGCTGAAGAGAAAGTTGAGCGAAGGAAGCAGGGCAAAAAATGTTTGTATGATGATTTAGATAGCATTAGAGAGGAACATGCTAGGGTGGTTGGAGAACTAAGGTTGGCCAATGCACGTTTTTTGTTTGTTTTGTTCCTTTTCGTAGGACTGCTTGTTGGGCATTGCCATAGAAGGATTGAAATTTGTAGTCAAGGCTGCATATGTAACTTTTTTGTAACTTATGTCCCGAGTCTATGTAGAATGTTGTTAAAAAATTATGTTGGTCGTATGTTGTTAAGAAATGATGTTGCTAAGCTTCTTATGTTCTTGAATTCCTTAAGAAACAACAAACATGCAGTAAGTAAACAAACACACCTTCACATACATAAAAACCAGTCAACATCATGTAATTGTTCCTAAATTAACATAATAACAAACAAAAGCTTCCATTTGCTAGTTGTCCAAAATGAATCCAATGTTTGGAAATCTGACATGATTTTTCATGGAAATAAGGCAACCTGCTATCCCAAAATAAACCTCACTACATTCAATGTACTACTAATAAGACAACGTCGGGCGAGTGTGTGCAGATTTGACAGTCATTCGTGTCTTAGAGGTGTCGCAAACAAGACCGAGTATCCAAGTCTTCGACATAATATAAATATCGGTCCATGTCTTAGGTAAGTTCGGAGTTGGCGTGTCTATACCGTCTGCTTAGCGAATTGGGTGTTGATTATCGAGTCCCAATGTATAGATATGGGGGAAAACGAGTGCGATTTAGATTGCGATTGATCCTGTACTGCATGACAGGACGAAGCTTAATAATCCTGGGCACCTTTCAATGGAAGATCAGACTGCGGATTTTTTGACAAAGGTTGTTGCGTCGAGCAAGCATATTTTTCGTCCAAATTGAAACCTCCATCAATTTGAGGCAGGGAGTTGAAGTTTATAAGTTTGGGTATCATCTTATATTTTACCATTGTCCTGCTGTCTATGTATAAGGTCATACGCGCATATATATATATATAGCCGCAACCCCATATATGTTGGTTAAGTCGATTATAGTTTATGGAGAAACCTTTTGGAGAGCACAACCTCTCTCATTGATTAGTCCCAAACTTCAGCGATACCACGTTAAATCTTGATGTTGTTTATTATTCAGTTCGTATTTCTTTACAAGAACTTTGTTCTTTTCTTATCTTCTTTCTTTCCTGGCGATTGATCTACACATTCACCCACAGATCACTTTCACCACAAAAGCTAAAATTACCTCTCTCTCTCTCTCTCTCTCCCCCCAGTTTCTCTCTTTCTTCTCCTATCTATTTTATCTTTCATGGCGACGGATCTTCCTATTTCTTTCTTATGGTCGATTTCTCTAATGCAAAATGAACTTTTTCTTGGTCTCTCGTATCTTTTAATGGACAATATTTTTTGTTGAATGGTTAATTGTTTCTCTTTGCATTCTGCTAAAATTCAATTTATTAGTAAACTCGCAAATTTTCAACCATAATTCACACTCTCAAACATTATAATTCGCGAATTATGAATTACCTATAAAAAAGCTTGTTTTCATGTTATAAAATGGGAGCAGCGAATGTCAACCACAAATTGCGTGACTTAATTTTTACTTGATAATGCAAATTAAAGTTTGAACCCAATATAAATTTACGAATCCCAAAATGATGTTGATAATATATATGTATATGGCTGGCTAGCTAAAAGTAAACATGTGGTGGAAAAAAGGGAATAAGTTATAGTATAGATGTGCGGTAGTAGATTTGAAATAGCAGACATCAAGTCAAAGTAGTTAGCTAGCTAGCTAACGGTGACAGGTTGGTCAAAGATCAACATTCCAAACAGCAGCTTCACCTTCACCACATGAAGTATGCACTTGTTTCATTCTCTCCACAGACTTGCAAATTCCACTGCAAGACCAGTCGAACGATGCCACACATACATTTCCTGCTTCTGCTTTCCATTCACAATCTACATCAATTATCAGGCATGTCATGATTCGTTAAATTACTACATACATGCACATATATCATATATGTACGTAAATGCATGTGTGATCCACTACAAAATTGGGAAGCATTGGGGACTAGTGTTGGGGGACGGATGTCATTGTCTGTCTCCGGAAATATAATTCTAAGCAATATAAGGGATAAGTGTATAAAATTGTCCCCATACATTATGCAATCAATTTTTAATTAATCTAGATTTATGTAGTTGTCCCTAAAGAACTAGTTTGAGGAAAGTAAAAGATATTGGGGTCGATTTTCTGTTATGAAAAAATTGCGAGAATTTGTTTTGTGGATTCTAACAATTAATCCTAACCCGCGCACACAAATTTGGCTAAAGATAGTGTGCATAACCATGGATCATGCATCTATCAATAACCAAATCTGGACCCATTTATTTAGAAAATTCAGATCTAAGGATGGAGAATTAAATATTATTTTTATTTTCTCTAGTTTTCTTAATCGGCTTATATCTTTTTCGTTTTAACTCGGATTTTAATTTTTTTTGCACAGGTGGAACGAGTTCATCGTGCTCTACAAAATGATATCAATTTTCAATATTTTTTTAGAACAAAAAATTCTGGCTTCTCGGTACCAACTGCATACCATATGGTATTTTCTTCATTTTTAATTCGTTTTTGAAAACGTTTGCACATAAGGGACGAGTTCATCATGATCTATTGGATCTACAAATTTCTGAGTGAACAAATTACAGGACCAAAAAATACCACACAATACCATACAATACCACCCCGTACCGGGGTGGTATTGTATGGTATCTTCTTCGTTTTTAATTCGTTTTTGAAAACGTTTGCACAGAAAGAACGAGTTCATCATGATCTATTGGATCTACAAATTTATGGGTGAACAAATTACAGGACCAAAAAATACCACACAATACCACCCTGGTACGGGGTGGTATCTTGTGGTATACAATGTTAAAAGTCGTAAATGACAATTAATATATTTCTACTATCATGTATTCAACCATCCTATAGTCTTAGTTTGTTCATACCACCATGGTACTTTTTCCAAACCATAGGTATGCTTTTATTTCAATACTAGTCAATACCATATGGTATAGACTGATAAAAAATGGCTCAATTTTTTTTGTTCAAAAAATATATTAAAGTGAATATCATTTTGAAGAGCACAATTAATCTGATCTAACTGTGCAAAAAAAAATAAATTTTAACTTAAAATGAGTGAGAAATCGTCTGTCAAAGATTAAAGAGGGGAAAATTAAAGACTTTCCAGAAGAGAGAGGATGCTGATGTCATACTGATGTGGACGGGTTACTCATGGTTACTCACCACAAGGTTACTCACCGAATCTGCTCCCACAAATTTTGTTTTCGCCCGGAAAAATGGCGCACAAGGTGGTACGGAACTCTTTTGGGAATTTTCCGAAAAATGATTTCCTGAATGGTTTATGGTAATAGAATTAATTATCCTTTCCAAAATTGTTTAATAGTTTCCCCGCATTCCAGAACCCTCCATCTTTTCTCAACCATTGATTTATATTATTAACTAAATCTCCTCCATCCATTGTAATATAACCTACAAAAACCCTACCTCTATTCCATATTTGCATTTCACTCGCCAATGGCTTCATCGTTCTTCCTTCTTATTTCATCTTTCAATATTCTGGGTTAATTGCAAGGTTGGTCACTGGGATTACAAAAAACGTTCATGTTTGATCACTGAAAATATTTAATTTCATTCGTGGTCACTAAAATTAGTTAAACATTTCAAGTTTGGTCACTCTCCGTCCAACTCCGTTAACTTTTGCTTACGTGGCAATCAACTTTTATAGTTGACCGTTAAATGTATGACATGGCAATTAAAAATAATAAAATAAATAAATTTTAATTTTTAAATTTACACCTCATTTCTAACTATTATTTCCAACTATTAAAAAGATGTTTCCCGTCCTAGAACTCCTTCCAGCTCGACGGTGTTAATGGCACCAGTTCCTCACCCCTGCCCCGCTGCCGGCGACGACTCATTCTCAGCCTTCACCATCTTAAAGCTCTCCACGCCCCAATCTTGGACTTCCTCAATCATACTCTTTCTAATCTCGCCGCAACAGTCACTCAATTTTGGTAAGGGAAAGAGTCGGAATTCTTAGCAGCATCGAGTGGGAAGTTGAGGATGGCCCTGCTGCCATGGAGGCGGAAGGCGTCGCTGTCTCATTCCTACCGAATTCCCTGATTCCTTCATCTCCCACTTCCAATAATACCAAACCCCCTTCAACGCTCCTTCTGTTTAATTATTGTCTCATTCTTCATCTTCCATGGCTGCAACAGTATCTTAAGCCAGAGGAAGCCACCCATGTCCAACATCTCCGTCCCCAAGCTCTCACCTCCCCGCAGACCCGACCGACCCAAATCCAGCTCCATTCCGATCTCACCAATTATGTGGACGATGAAAAGCACTACAAAGGGGTTTGACGGAGGCCGTGGGGAAAATACACCGTCGAAATTCGAGATCCCACCAAGAAAGGGGTTAGGGTTTGGCTGGGGATGTTTGACACCGCCATCGAGGCCTCCAAGGCATACGGCACCGACTCTTTTCCCCGCCGAAATTGAGTAATTGTTGCAGCAGGATTAGAAAGAGGAAGGTTGGGGAAGTCCATGATGGTGGCCAGGGAGCTTTAAGGCGGTGAAGGCGGAGAATGAGTCATCGCCGACGGCGGGGCAGGATGTGGAATCGTTGCCAATGGCAATAACGTCGTCGAGCTGGAAGGAGTTCTAGGACGGGGAAACATCTTTTTAATAGTTAGAAATAATAGTTAGAAATGAGGTGGAGATTTAAAAATTAAATTTTATTTATTTTTATTATTTTTTAATTGCCATGTCATACATTTAACGGTCAACAATAAAAGTTGACTGCCACGTAAGCAAAAGTTAACGGAGTTAGACGGAGAGTGACTAAACTTGAGATGTTTAACTAATTTTAGTGACCACGAATGGAATTAAATATTTTCAGTGACCAAACATGAACGTTTTTAGTAATCCCAGTGACCAATCTTGCAATTAACCCCAATATTCTCGTTGATAGACCAATCCCTCTCTCTCTTATTTACCTATCACTGCTTCGTATTTCCTTCTCTTCTTCACAACCCAAATTGGATGTTCTCTCTCATATGGCGTCGTCATCAGCGCTCTCTTCTACTTTCGTGTTAGTCGGCACGACTTACATATGCATAACGTTTGTTTGGAATTTATTTAGTTCAATTATTTCTTCTTCTTCTTTTCTGGTAAAAACTATTGTATTTTATTCACCGAACCTAAAACTGGTTACTGTCACATTCTTATGGGTTTTGTTTTGCTAGTGGATCGATATGTTGTTTGGTTTTGTTGGATCTGTCATTTGCTTAGTTTCTAACTCTTATTCTGCTTTTCTCCTGGAGTAGACACTGGTGATGGTGATAATTACGCACAATAGAGGGGGAAACGATGCAAGGGTCAGCGAGTGAAGCAATGTCAATTAATGGTTGTTAGCCACTGGAGATCTAACAAGAGTAATGATTGTCATGGCGATTTTGCGTCTTTTTAAGTCAAATTGGCTTTTCCTTTTTCATTGTCTATATCACTATATTTATGTTGTACTATATTATATTTAAGTGTATATTTTTAGTACAATGAATGAAATAACATTTGATATTTAAGATTATAGATAATTACAAGTTGTTCTCAAGCCAACTTATTATTTGAGACCGACTTAAGAAAACACAAAGTTGTCCCCGCAAAAGAGAGTTACCACTACAAAAAAGAGTAACTTAGGAGACGACTTAAGAAAACATGATCTACTCGAAAGAATGTTGGGTTTTCCAATCAACTGGTTATTTTATTTCTTATGCTTATTAATAGATTTATGACGACTTAAGAAAGCACAAAGAGATCGATCATCATCTAGAGAAGCCAGACCTGGAGGTGTACCGCAGCACATGGAGCGCTCATCTACATGTTGAACCTCCAGCCCAATCAACCACGCTCCTAATGACACATCCTCATTTGCATATCTGTGAAGTATGGGCCTAAGGAAACACGAAACCCAATTAATAATTCCAACCCAGGCCCAACCCATATAGTTAAGACGACTGAACGTAACATGAGGGAAGGATCGGAACATGGAGGGAAGAACAGACGACTTACGAATTGAGGGAAATATAGGCAGCCAGGTCCTTGGAGATGGCATAGAGTTGGCCGGTTGCATGTCTAAAGTACTTGTTCCCTTCTTCCCCGAATTTCCAGTGCTCGGGCTCATGGTACTTAACCCCTCTAATTATGTGCAAATTATTAAATTCTATTTGTAATTGAGTACGACTAAAATAAATTAATTAACGACTTACTTTTGAGATAGAACCGGTCCAGATTTCATGCATCCAATGTATAACCTGGGTGTCGAACGATATTTTGCCAAAGTGGTAACCAACATTCCTTTTTAGAAGAAAAAAATTATAAATAAAATCAAACACAAATTAAATTAGAAGTAAATATCACTGTACATGCACGCATCGAGTAAAATGCACGTCGAGAACTAGTGTAGAATGCATGTGTGTATAATACATTCAAGAGGCGGTTGCAAAAGACGTAGACGCGCGCATAATGCATATGCTACTAAAGTATTATATATCATTAAATAATTTGTAAACCGATTAAATTATCCTAGTGATTAATTAAATTGAATTGAATTATCTCTACCAAAAATATTAAGGTGGACTAGTGGACGAAGTTGTAGGATATATATGAGTGTCAATTATACATGTTGTATTAGAGAATAGTATATACATGCATATGCAAATGACTACACGGACGTACCTAAGTTGAGGTGAACGTCGTCATCGACCTTGACGTAGAAGTGGGCGTCCCAAATGGAGGCGGCAGCAGAGAAATAGAGTCTGGTTTTGGTGGACAGCTGGTGGTAACCCTCGACGTGGTTGAGCCTGAGGAAGTCATTGTGTTTGTCTTGCTCGGCGTCGAGTGCCTTGTCAAGAACTCCCCCAGGGGTAGCGCTGTGGCCTATCACGAACCTTATCACTATCCCTTTTTCCTTCTCCAGGGCCTTGAGCTTCTCACCTTTCGGCATCCACGTCTCCCGAACCGACTCCCGCCGTTTCCTGCTGCTGAATGCTGTGTTGATTCCGATCACTACGAACGCCTTTTGCAGTTCCAGTCCTAGCCCTACCCCGACTACTCCTGGCATCGTTGACGAATCATTAATCTTACTATTTGATGAATTTCTAGCATTAACATTGTGCGTAACTTGCCCCCTTGCTGCAGCAGGCTCCTGTTGCCTTGTTCTAGCCACTGCCAGTTCCATCTCTAATGACGACATTGTTGTCTCCAGCGACCTGCAGCACGCAACCAAGCCAGCCATATACAATCATTTAGCTCGATTCGAACCTCTATATATATATAGCGGACCTAAATGTCTCGATATCGATTATCTATATGGCTTACTTGATAGCTTGATGGGTTCTCTCTACTTCATCCATTATATCTCCAATAGCAGCTGCTGCTGGCCTCTCCTCTGCCAGTTTCTATTTAATGAAAAATTTGGACATGCAATACTAGTCATGAGTACGTACGTACGTATGATAAAATGAACTAGAGTAACCGAATCCTAAAATTATGTATAGTGCATGACAAACTACAAGTTAAGTACTGGCATATCTATACATAGAGAAGGTAGAAAACTAGAAATATTACTATATATATTGTATACAAAAGAGATTATGTGAACATATTATAGTGTACGTACACGCTTGTGCTCGCAGTCGTGCTTAGCTTGGTTCGGTTCAGTGGAGAAATTATGAGGAGTGCGCGGAGGAACAAGTTGTCTATGGTTGTGGTGGTTGTCTTTGGCAGCTGAAGAATAGCTTTTGTGACTGCTGCCACCGCTGCCACTCCAGCTGGTAAGCAGTGCTCCGGCCACAAAGCTACCCATGCATAGCAGTATTATGGCTTTGCCTGATGATATGATCGGCTTCCCCTTCATTCTTTTATTCTACCAGCTGCCGCCCGAGAGACTGCTCGAACCCTAGTTAGTTACATAAACCAAACGTTTAGATACATAACATTACTCTCACACACATACGAGTCTTTTATTCATCAAGCTATATATAAATATCTCAATCATGAAAGAAATAAATAACTTCGCACTTAGTAATTAAGAACGACAAGTAGTACCTACTGAATGAAGAAGACGATATAGAAACCGAGTGGCGAAGAGCCGAAGACAGACGATTTTGGCTGATTCGAGTTTTGGAGAATTGATGGTGCTTATCTTGAATGACGAGTCTATCTAGCCAGCTAATTGACAATCTTCCGCCCTCCTTTCAGCTAACTCATCGTTTAATTAGCTAGTAACAAGCCACCAAGCAATCCGCAGCTTTAGTTTTCTTCTCCTTCTTTCTCTTGCTAGATGAATGCTCGGGGATTTGGAGTTGGCAGTTCAATCATGACTTTTTCATGCTTCAACAAACTTTTCTTAACAGCAATAATCAACATCCATCCACTAACACACTTCTCTACCTTAGGATCGCCTAGATGAGTTATTGATTGTGGTATAGTATTTATGTACAAATAATCTGTAAATTTTAAATGTGATATTTATGATTCACTTGATAAATTTGGCTTTAGAAATGTCTTGTTTGAAATAAGAAAATTCGTGAGTTATGTATTTACGAGCCACTAGTCTTGGATTTAGAAATGTGGTATTTATGTATTTTTAGATCTAGAGGTTGCAGTTTTGACTTCTGTAAATAGTACCTAATCAAAAAAAAAGTAAGTATATATCACTCTTATTTAAAAGAAGGAAATGAAGGAACGAGTTAATTAAGAATAATATGAGATATGAGTAATTAAGAATAACACATTTTTTTAGTTATTTGAAATAATATGGATTAAAATAATTCATCATACAATGGTTGTAAAATAACTATTGTGCCTCAAATAATGCCATGAGATTGAGACTGTAAGGAACAATTAACGAACTAACAAGAAGTAGGGAAGAAGCTTGATTTCCTATTTTGTGATGACCCGTTGTGTGTCTTCCTCTGAGTTCGCTGGTAGAGGGTAGACCGAGAGCCAATTGTAATTTATAACTGAGGGAAAATTAGTCATTTTTTATCTCATTTAACTGCTAGTTAACAGAAATTTTGACAAAATGGTATAATTGTTATGTTTCAATAATAGAATGATATATTTGTGTAAAATTATAGTATAAGGATATGTTTGTTAACTTGTAATAATAAAAGAGTATAAAATATTATTATTCCTAGATAAAAATGGTTAGTTTTAGCCTTTTAGGTATTAAAAAAATCATTAAATGCAAATTGCTTTTTCTGACATTTTTCTATCCACTCACGTTTTTCTTTCCCACTTTATAACGGCTTCTTTCTCTAATCTCTCCTTCTCTCTCTTCCTCAAGGTTCGAAAGAAAGGTGGGAAAATCATCAATCTCCTTCCCTTCCCCTAATCCCCTCGCCGAAAGTCAGATGTTTATCTCAGAGAAAGTGATCAGGGACAGGAAGGTCTTACCATGTTTTCCAACATAAGACGAATTTTGTGTGACCCAGCGGCCCGCTTTTAACACGTTATATACATGTGTATGGATCCTGTACAGGTATTTTTATTTCCCAAGCAATAAAATCAGGACATGGTGCCAAAAGAGTGCATGTAATAGGAGATATAAAGTAGAAAGCAAAAGAATTTTTGTTCGAGGACAAGACATGTGTTGGGAAGATGATGAAGTTATGAAGGTGTAACGGCCTACTTATATATAGTGCATAGAATATTATTGTACTACTATATAAAAGCAAGGTTTTCAGGTGAAGAAAGACAACACGTGTCCAAACTACCTCTAATACTCTTGCATAATCTGATTTAATTTCAAGTCTGCCATTTCTTATATTTTCTGATTTTTTTTGCTATTTCATATATATATATATATATATATATAGTTTAACGATGGGTTGGCTTACATATGTTCTGTAACGGTTCGATGGGGTTTTCTTTTCATAATTTTGACGTGTGTGTATATATATGTGTATCTTGCAATGGTCTGAGTTGAATTTAAGTGTCAAGAGTTCCATCATGAATTTGAAGATGATGCTGAAATTGAGGATGAGGGTGACTAGAGCTCTATTGTTGTGGTTAATGAGCGGCATCATGGTTTCAAGACTTGGGTTGGTAGCATCAACAAGAGTTCCAGCGATGTTCATCTTCGGAGATTCATTGGTTGAAGTTGGGAACAACAATTACCTGAGCTCCATCGCCAAATCCAATTATTTCCCTTACGGGATCGACTTTAACAGAGGCCCTACTGGCAGATTTTGCAATGGCAAAACTTTTGTCGATATACTTGGTGAGTACATATATAAACTTGATGATCATAATGGACTCCCTACCTACAAGATATATATATATACTCTTCCAGGCTCCAGCTAGCTCCACTGTTTTTTTTTCTTTTTTGTACAGCGGAGTTGCTAGGTCTGCCGTATCCTCCAGCTTTTGCCGATCCCAACACAGCCGGAGCTAGATTACTTGGCGGCGTAAATTATGCATCGGCAGCTGCAGGCATCCTTGATGAGACAGGCCAGCACTATGTAAGTAGGAACATATTTATATTTTTAAATGGTTTTTGTCTTGACGCTCACTTTTTTTCCATGCTAGCTAGGCACTCGTCTCATAATAATGAAAAATAAAGTGACGCATGACAAAACGATGTTTATAGTGTGTAATATAATGGAAAATAAAATGCATGTTATTTTCCGATAACAAAAAAGATTTAGACTCATTTGAAGGCTTTAGACATTTAGGATTAGGGTTAGTGTTAATGTTTAGAATTTAGAGGATAGAGGGTTCAAAATTTAAATTTTATGACTTAGAATAATTCATTAATTAGTTGTTTATTAGATTAATGCTGGTCATTCAAATTAAAAATTTGGTGACTTAAGTTTCAAAAAAAAAAAAAAAAAAAAATTTGGTGACTTAATGAATTAGGTATGCACTCATTTTTTTCTTAATTAGTGCACCGTAAAACACAATTTCCATTAAGTAACTAATTAACTATGTGGTTAATTAAGCTATAATTAATAATAATACATGTGCAGGGGCAAAGGTACAGTCTAAGGCAGCAGGTGGCGAACTTCGAAACGACAGTGTACCAGCTGAGAACAACGGTGGGGATGGGCGGAGGGAACCTGAGCGATTTCTTGGGGAAGTCCATGGCAGTGCTGGTGTTTGGAAGCAACGACTACATAAACAACTACCTGATGCCAGCCATCTACTCTTCAAGTTTTAATTACAGCCCCCCGCAGTTCGCCAACCTTCTCCTCAATAACTATGCCCGCCAGTTAGTGGCACTCTACGGATTGGGACTCCGGAAGTTCCTACTGGCAGGGATTGGCCCGCTCGGGTGCATCCCTAACCAGAGAGCCAGCGGCCAATCACCTCCGGACAGGTGTGTCGACTACGTGAATCAGATGCTGGGCACCTTCAACGAAGGGCTTCACTCCCTTGTGGATCAGCTCAACCGCCAGCCGGGAGCCATGTATGCCTTTGGCAACACCTACGCCGCTGTTGGTGACATCCTCAATAACCCTGCCACTTATGGTAACGTCTAACTGCATGCACACACATATATATATATATATATTGTAGTAGTTGATGAAATGATTGCGCGCATTAGTTAACTATATCATTACATTATATATATATATATATATATATATATATATATATATATATATATATATATATATATATATACTCACACACATGATGATGATGATGACGACGACGACCGTTCATCAAATTGCATTTCTTGGTGCAGGGTTTAATGTTGTGGACAGAGGATGCTGCGGAATTGGGAGGAACCAAGGCCAAATCACATGTCTCCCGTTCGCCATTCCTTGTACCAACAGAAATGTTTTTGTGTTTTGGGATGCCTTCCACCCAACCCAATCTGTCAACAACATTCTGGCCCGTAGGGCTTTTTCTGGGCCCCCGAGGGATTGCTACCCTATAAATGTCCAACAAATGACCCTCTTCTCTTGATTATTATATATGTGTGTCTGTTGGAAATGTGTATGAATAGCTTTGAAAGCTATAGAGTCTCAAGTGGAAAAAACTACCACATTGGTAGTTTTACTTGGTGAAGTGATTATAAAGATAGGAGCCTCTCTCCTAAGGGCATGCCCCTTGGGGTGACCCACTTTTGTGGGAGAGGGAGGACCTAACAGGACCACCACACACGCGCGCGCCGGTCGGTCGGTCGGTTGGTTGGATGGATGGATGGATCACTTGAGACTATATACATATTTTTTGGAGAAATTCCGAACGAAATTAATTATTTAATAATTAATTATTAATCGGTTACTCTGAGGAATATTCCAAGGGATAATCGATTGAAAAGGAATATTCGAAGGATAATCTCCGCAGGATTTATCCTAACCGACGGTTTTAATTAAGGAAGTAATTATCTTCCTTAATTAATCCGACTTATTCCCCAAGCAAGAGGGTATATTCCTAGGGGTTCGGCTCCTATAAATAGCCGCCTCCCCAGCCCCTCTAAACACACAACAACGAGCATAAACACAAAGAGAGAGTGTTCATAGAGCTCAGGTTTTCGCACAAAACCGCGAGTATTGAGAGGAGCTGTTTTATCCTGGAGACGACCGGTTGATAGTCTGCCGTGCGCATCGAGGGCAGTGCCGCGAACGTCTTAAAGAGAGCGACCTAGTCCGCGACTCAGCTCCAGATTCGGTAACCTCGTTCCTGTTGTTGTTCCGTTCCTAACAATTTTAAGACGTTCGGCTGCTGCTATGTCGACTGAACAGAACAACATGGCCGGATCTGGTGCTGTCGATATCAATCGACCGTTTCGCTTCGTTGGAGTCAACTTTCGTCGCTGGAAACAAAAGATGGAGTTTTACCTGACGACCAAGAAGTTGGCACATTGCCTCACTAGCATGCCCGTCGAGCTGCCGGAAGAAGCGACCGATGAGGAGAGGACTGCTGCTGCTAAGGAAAGGGAGCATGACTTCCTATGCAAGGGCTACATCCTCAACGGCCTGGCAGACGACCTCTACGACTACTATGCGGACAGCAAGAACACCGCAATGATGGTCTGGGATGCGCTCCAAAAGAAGTACGACACGGAGGAGGCTGGAGCTAAGAAGTATGCTGTCAGCCGTTACCTGCGCTACCAGATGGTGGACGACAAGTCTGTCGAAGTTCAGTCCCACGAACTTCAGAAAATAGCTCACGAGATCGTCTCTGAAGGTATGCCTCTGGACGATCAATTTCAAGTTGCTTGCATTATTGATAAGCTGCCCCCTTCGTGGAAAGATTTTAAGAATATGCTTAGACATAAAACCAAAGAATTTTCACTGGAAAGTTTGATTACTCGCCTAAGGATTGAGGAAGAGTCCCGCAAGCAGGATATGAAAGAAGAGGTGATGGTCGTCACTGCTAAACGACCCACCCCTAGAGCTCTTAAACCTAACCAGAAAGGGTTTAAGGGTAAGAACCAGCAGGTCCGCCCCCATCAGAATGGTGCCTCTCGAGGTAACCAAAGAGTCATGGCCCAAACCTCTAAGAATGACCCACCGTTTATCTGCTTTAATTGCGGAAAACCGGGTCATATGGCAAAAAAGTGCAGGAACAAGCCTAACCCTGCCGCTGCGGCCAGGGTTAACTTGACAGAAGAGGATTTGGTAGCCATGATCACAGAGATGATCGCTGAAGTTAACCTCACCGGTGACTCAGAAGGATGGTGGCTGGATACAGGTGCATCGAAGCATGTATGCAACAATCGTGCTATGTTTAAAACATACGAAGAAGCACCTGCTGACAAGAAAGTGTTGTTGGGGACTACTCACACCACTATGGTTGCTGGTTCTGGTGAAGTGGAGCTGAACTTCACCTCTGGGAAGAAGATGGTGCTTAAGGATGTGTTGCACACTCCAGAGATAAGGAAGAATCTTGTTTCGGGATATCTTCTTAATAAGGCTGGGTTTAATCAATCTATTGGGGCAGACTTGTATACCCTTACTAAGAATGGGAGTTTTGTGGGAAAGGGATATGCATGTAATGGGATGTTCAAATTGAATGTCGAAATTAATAAGATGAATTCTTCAGTTTACATGGTGTGTGATTTGAATGTTTGGCATGCTCGTCTTTGTCATGTGAACACACGAATTGTGAAGAATTTAAGCAAGCTAGGGCATATCCCTAAACTCTCAATGAATGAATTTGATAAATGTGATTTCTGTAGCCAAGCTAAAATAACGAAAACGCCCCATAAATCTGTGAGTAGAGAATCAGAACCCTTAGATCTGATTCATTCTGATATTTGTGAACTAGATGGGACGTTAACTAGGTCTGGCAAGAGATACTTTATCACTTTCATAGATGATTGCTCTGATTATTGCTTTGTTTATTTGATGAAAAACAAAAGTGAAGCCCTTGACATGTTCAAGGTATTTGTGGTTGAATTCGAAAATCAGTGCAATCGAAAGATAAAAAGACTTAGGAGCGATAGAGGATCAGAGTATGACTCTAATCCCTTCAAGGAATTCTATAGCTCACATGGTATCATTCATGAAACCACGGCACCATATTCACCAGAGATGAATGGTAAAGCTGAGCGGAAAAATAGGACATTTACAGAATTAGTTGTGGCTATTATGCTCAATTCTGGAGCTGCTTCTTCTTGGTGGGGTGATATTTTGTTAACGGTTTGCTATGTGCTAAATCGTCTTCCAAAAACAAATAGAAAAGAATCACCCTATGAGATCTTGAAGAATAAGCCACCTAATCTGTCCTATTTAAGAACGTGGGGCTGTTTGGCCTACGTAAGAATTCCGGATCCTAAGAGGGTTAAGTTGGCTAGTCGAGCATATGAATGTGTCTTCGTTGGCTATGCGGTCAATAGTAAGGCATATAGATTCTATGATTTGAATGCTCGTACTATAATAGAGTCCATTGATGCTGATTTCTTTGAGACACGATTTCCATTTAAAACGAGAAATAGTGGGGGTAATGTACTACCCGCTATTAGAGATAACGGAACTAGTGGGGGTGTTGGATCTGAGGATGAACTCAGAAGAAGTAAACGAGCTAGAATCTCTAAAGATTTTGGTGATGACTTTACTACAGTATACACCCTAGAGGATCCAAAAAGTTTGCAGGAAGCATTAACTTCCATAGATGCAGACTTTTGGAATGAGGCCGTTATAGATGAAATGGAATCGTTAGAGGCTAATAAGACTTGGCATCTAACAGACTTACCTCCTGGCTGCAAAGTCTTAGGTAATAAATGGGTTCTAAAAACGAAACGGAAACCTGATGGTGCAATCGAAAGGTTCCGAGCTCGCCTAGTAGTCAAGGGCTACAGGCAGAGAGAGAATATAGATTTCTTCGACACCTACTCACCAGTATCTAGAATAACATCCATTCGTGTCATGATTGCTCTTGCTGCCTTGAACAATCTCGTGGTACACCAAATGGATGTTAAGACTGCCTTTTTGAACGGTGATCTAGAAGAAGAAATCTATATGGAACAACCAGAAGGGTTTGTTATCCCTGAACATGCCTCGAAAGTCTGTAAGTTGGACAAATCATTATATGGTTTGAAACAGGCTCCAAAACAGTGGCATGAGAAGTTTGACACTCTCGTTCTCTCACATGGCTTTAAGGTGAATGAAAGTGACAAGTGTATTTACTGCAAGTCAGAGAATAACACTTGCACTATCATATGTTTGTATGTAGATGACATGTTGATATTTGGTACAAATATTCACGTGGTCAATGAAGCGAAAGCCATGTTAAAAGAGAGCTTCGAGGTGAAAGATCTGGGAGAAGCAAAGTTTATGCTTGGAATCCAGATAACTAGAACAGCAAATGGTTATTCTCTAGATCAATCTAGCTACATAGAGAAGATCTTGAAGAAGTATAACTATTTCGACTGTAAACCTGCATGTACTCCGTATGATGCTAGTGTAAAGCTATTTAAGAACACTGGAGACAGTGTAAGACAATCGGAATATGCTAGCATCATTGGCAGTCTCCGTTATGCTGCGGATTACACTCGACCAGACATTGCATATGTCGTGGGATTGCTTGGCAGGTTTAACAGCTGTCCTAGTAGAGAGCATTGGAATGCTATAGAGAGGGTCATGAGATACCTCAAGAGAACAGCAAACCTTGGTATACACTATCAAAGGTTTCCCGCTGTACTAGAAGGGTATAGTGATGCGGATTGGAATACCCTATCAGATGACTCCAAGGCAACCAGCGGATATGTTTTTAACATCGCTGGTGGAGCTGTGTCTTGGAAGTCAAAGAAACAAACAATCCTAGCTCAATCAACTATGGAATCAGAGATGATAGCACTAGCAACGGCTAGTGAAGAAGCAAGTTGGTTGAGAGGATTGTTGTCAGAGATTCCCCTATGGGAAAGCCCGGTCCCTCCGGTATTGATACATTGTGATAGTACCGCAGCTATCGCTAAAGTTGAGAACCGGTTCTATAACGGAAAGAAACGACAGATTCGTCGTAAGCACAGTACTGTTAGAGAACTCCTAACGATAGGAGCAGTGAGGGTGGATCATATAAGATCCGAACAGAATCTAGCTGATCCTTTGACGAAAGGATTACCTAGAGAGAAAGTCCAGAATACCGCCAAGGGTATGGGACTTATGCCTACCGAACCACGGACTACAAGTGATGGTAACCCGACCCAATAGACTGGAGATCCCAAGAAATGGGTTCAATGGGTAATAACAAGTCATGAGTAGTATGCGAAAAGTTCATGCATAATGAAGCATGAATCCCAAAGCAATGGAGGTTGAGTTAATAACTCTTAATGAGATCTATACCCTATGTGGGGTGGAGTACTTTACTTTGGGGGTACTCCTGATAGACTCACCTATGTGAATGTGGGAGTGGGGCCGCTCCCTATGGAACTTTGAGAGGCACAAAGTTGCTAGAGCGTTCACTAAACCAGGGTAACGTGCAAGGCCATAAACGCACGGGCTAAGAAGAGAACACAACTCAATGAAAAGATCCGGTGTGCTACACTGTCTGAGATAGGGTTCAAGACTACGAGTCACCCTTATGAAATCGGAAGTGTAACCACTACGCTAAGGTTCAAATCTTCGCGATACCTTAGCTTATGCCCGATCTTATGGAACTGTTGATGCTCAGAGATAGTTTCAAAACTATTCAAGTGGGGGATTGTTGGAAATGTGTATGAATAGCTTTGAAAGCTATAGAGTCTCAAGTGGAAAAAACTACCACATTGGTAGTTTTACTTGGTGAAGTGATTATAAAGATAGGAGCCTCTCTCCTAAGGGCATGCCCCTTGGGGTGACCCACTTTTGTGGGAGAGGGAGGACCTAACGGACCACCACACACACGCGCGCGCGCGCCGTCCGTCCGTCCGTCCGACCGGTCGGTCGGTTGGTTGGATCACTTGAGACTATATACATATTTTTTGGAGAAATTCCGAACGAAATTAATTATTAATCGGTTATTCTGAGGAATATTCTAAGGGATAATCGATTGAAAAGGAATATTCGAAGGATAATCCCAGCAGGATTTATCCTAACCGACGGTTTTAATTAAGGAAGTAATTATCTTCCTTAATTAATCCGACTTATTCCCCAAGCTAGAGGGTATATTCCTAGGGGTTCGGCTCCTATAAATAGCCGCCTCCCCAGCCCCTCTAAATACACTACAACGAGCATAAACACAATAGAGAGAGTGTTCAGAGAGCTCCGGTTTTCGCACAAAACCGCGAGTACAAAGAGGAGCTGTTTTATCCTGGAGACGACCGGTTGATAGTCTGCCGTGCGCATCGAGGGCAGTGCCGCGAACGTCTTAAAGACAGCGACCTAGTCCGCGACTCAGCTCCAGATTCGGTTTCCTCATCTTGTTGTTGTTCCGTTTCTAACAATTTTAAGACGCTCGGCTGCTGCTATGTCGACTGAACAGAACAACATGGCCGGATCTGGTGCTGTCGATATCAATCGACCCTTTCGCTTCGTTGGAGTCAACTTCCGTCGCTGGAGACAAAAGATGGAGTTCTACCTGACGACCAAGAAGTTGGCACACTGCCTCACCAGCATGCCCGTCGAGCTGCCGGAAGAAGCGACCGATGAGGAGAGGACTGCTGCTGCTAAGGAAAGGGAGCATGACTTCCTATGCAAGGGCTACATCCTCAACGGCCTGGCAGACGACCTCTACGACTACTATGCGGATAGCAAGAACACCGCAATGATGGTCTGGGATGCGCTCCAAAAGAAGTACGACACGGAGGAGGCTGGAGCTAAGAAGTATGCTGTCAGCCGCTACCTGCGCTATCAGATGGTGGATGACAAGTCTGTCGAAGTTCAGTCCCACGAACTTAAGAAAATAGCTCACGAGATCGTCTCTGAAGGTATGCCTCTGGACGATCAATTTCAAGTTGCTTGCATTATTGATAAGCTGCCCCCTTCGTGGAAAGATTTTAAGAATATGCTTAGACATAAAACCAAAGAATTTTCACTGGAAAGTTTGATTACTCGCCTAAGGATTGAGGAAGAGTCCCGCAAGCAGGATATGAAAGAAGAGGTGATGGTCGTCACTGCTAAACGACCCACCCCTAGAGCTCTTAAACCTAACCAGAAAGGGTTTAAGGGTAAGAACCAGCAGGTCCGCCCCCACCAGAATGGTGCCTCTCGAGGTAACCAAAGGGTCATGGCCCAAACCTCTAAGAATGACCCACCGTTTATCTGCTTTAACTGCGGAAAACCGGGTCATATGGCAAAAAAGTGCAGGAACAAGCATAACCCCGCCGCTGCGGCCAGGGTTAACTTGACAGAAGAGGATTTGGTAGCCATGATCACAGATATGATCGCTGAAGTTAACCTCACCGGTGACTCAGAAGGATGGTGGCTGGATACAGGTGCATCGAAGCATGTATGCAACAATCGTGCTATGTTTAAAACATACGAAGAAGCACCTGCTGACAAGAAAGTGTTGTTGGGAACTACTCACACCACTATGGTCGCTGGTTCTGGTGAAGTGGAGCTGAACTTCACCTCTGGGAAGAAGATGGTGCTCAAGGATGTGTTGCACACTCCAGAGATAAGGAAGAATCTTGTTTCGGGATATCTTCTTAATAAGGCTGGGTTTAATCAATCTATTGGGGCAGACTTGTATACCCTTACTAAGAATGGGAGTTTTGTGGGAAAGGGATATGCATGTAATGGGATGTTCAAGTTGAATGTCGAAATTAATAAGATGAATTCTTCAGTTTACATGGTGTGTGATTTGAATGTTTGGCATGCTCGTCTTTGTCATGTGAACACACGAATTGTGAAGAATTTAAGCAAGCTAGGGCATATCCCTAAACTCTCAATGAATGAATTTGATAAATGTGATTTCTGTAGCCAAGCTAAAATAACGAAAACGCCCCATAAATCTGTGAGTAGAGAATCAGAACCCTTAGATCTGATTCATTCTGATATTTGTGAACTAGATGGGACGTTAACTAGGTCTGGCAAGAGATACTTTATCACTTTCATAGATGATTGCTCTGATTATTGCTTTGTTTATTTGATGAAAAACAAAAGTGAAGCCCTTGACATGTTCAAGGTATTTGTGGTTGAATTCGAAAATCAGTGCAATCGAAAGATAAAAAGACTTAGGAGCGATAGAGGATCAGAGTATGACTCTAATCTCTTCAAGGAATTCTATAGCTCACATGGTATCATTCATGAAACCACGGCACCATATTCACCAGAAATGAATGGTAAAGCTGAGCGGAAAAATAGGACATTTACAGAATTAGTTGTGGCTATTATGCTCAATTCTGGAGCTGCTTCTTCTTGGTGGGGTGATATTTTGTTGACGGTTTGCTATGTGCTAAATCGTCTTCCAAAAACAAATAGAAAAGAATCACCCTATGAGATCTTGAAGAATAAGCCACCTAATCTGTCCTATTTAAGAACGTGGGGCTGTTTGGCCTACGTAAGAATTCCTGATCCTAAGAGGGTTAAGTTGGCTAGTCGAGCATATGAATGTGTCTTCGTTGGCTATGCGGCCAATAGTAAGGCATATAGATTCTATGATTTGAATGCTCGTGTAGTAATAGAATCCATTGATGCTGATTTCTTTGAGACACGATTTCCATTTAAAACGAGAAATAGTGGGGGTAATGTACTACCCGCTATTAGAGATAATGGAACAAGTGGGGGTGTTGGATCTGAGGATGAACTCAGAAGAAGTAAAAGAGCTAGAATCTCTAAAGATTTTGGTGATGACTTTACTACAGTATACACCCTAGAGGATCCAAAAAGTTTGCAGGAAGCATTAACTTCCATAGATGCAGACTTTTGGAATGAGGCCGTTATAGATGAAATGGAATCGTTAGAGGCTAATAAGACTTGGCATCTAACAGACTTACCTCCTGGCTGCAAAGTCTTAGGTAATAAATGGGTTCTAAAAACGAAACGGAAACCTGATGGTGCAATCGAAAGGTTCCGAGCTCGCGTAGTAGTCAAGGGCTACAGGCAGAGAGAGAATATAGATTTCTTCGACACCTATTCACCAGTATCTAGAATAACATCCATTCGTGTCATGATTGCTCTTGCTGCCTTGAACAATCTCGTGGTACACCAAATGGATGTTAAGACTGCTTTTTTGAACGGTGATCTAGATGAAGAAATCTATATGGAACAACCAGAAGGGTTTGTTATCCCTGAACATGCCTCGAAAGTCTGTAAGTTGGACAAATCATTATATGGTTTGAAACAGGCTCCAAAACAGTGGCATGAGAAGTTTGACACTCTCGTTCTCTCACATGGCTTTAAGGTGAATGAAAGTGACAAGTGTATTTACTGCAAGTCAGAGAATAACACTTGCACTATCATATGTTTGTATGTAGATGACATGTTGATATTTGGTACAAATATTCACGTGATCAATGAAGCGAAAGCCATGTTAAAAGAGAGCTTTGAGGTGAAAGATCTGGGAGAAACAAAGTTTATGCTTGGAATCCAGATAACTAGAACAGCAAATGGTTATTCTCTAGATCAATCCAGTTACATAGAGAAGATCTTGAAGAAGTATAACTATTTCGACTGTAAACCTGCGTGTACTCCGTATGATGCTAGTGTAAAGCTATTCAAGAACACTGGAGACAGTGTAAGACAAACAGAATATGCTAGCATCATTGGCAGTCTCCGTTATGCTGCGGATTACACTCGACCAGACATTGCATATGTCGTGGGATTGCTTGGCAGGTTTAACAGCTGTCCTAGTAGAGAGCATTGGAATGCTATAGAGAGGGTCATGAGATACCTCAAGAGAACAGCAAACCTTGGTATACACTATCAAAGGTTTCCCGCTGTACTAGAAGGGTATAGTGATGCGGATTGGAATACCCTATCAGATGACTCCAAGGCAACCAGCGGATATGTTTTTAACATCGCTGGTGGAGCTGTGTCTTGGAAGTCAAAGAAACAAACAATCCTAGCTCAATCAACTATGGAATCAGAGATGATAGCACTAGCAACGGCTAGTGAAGAAGCAAGTTGGTTGAGAGGATTGTTGTCAGAGATTCCCTTATGGGAAAGCCCGGTCCCTTCGGTATTGATACATTGTGATAGTACCGCAGCTATCGCTAAAGTCGAGAACCGGTTCTATAACGGAAAGAAACGACAGATTCGTCGTAAGCACAGTACTGTTAGAGAACTCCTAACGATAGGAGCAGTGAGGGTGGATCATATAAGATCCGAACAGAATCTAGCTGATCCTTTGACGAAAGGATTACCTAGAGAGAAAGTCCAGAATACCACCAAGGGTATGGGACTTATGCCTACCGAACCACGGACTACAAGTGATGGTAACCCGACCCAATAGACTGGAGATCCCAAGAAATGGGTTCAATGGGTAATAACAAGTCATGAGTAGTATGCGAAAAGTTCATGCATAATGAAGCATGAATCCCAAAGCAATGGAGGTTGAGTTAATAACTCTTAATGAGATCTATACCCTATGTGGGGTGGAGTACTTTACTTTGGGGGTACTCCTGATAGACTCACCTATGTGAATGTGGGAGTGGGGCCGCTCCCTATGGAACTTTGAGAGGCACAAAGTTGCTAGAGCGTTCACTAAACCAGGATAACGTGCATGGCCATAAACGCACGGGCTAAGAAGAGAACACAACTCAATGAAAAGATCTGGTGTGCTACATTGTCTGAGATAGGGTTCAAGACTACGAGTCACCCTTATGAAATCGGAAGTGTAACCACTACGCTAAGGTTCAAATCTTCGCGATACCTTAGCTTATGCCCGATCTTATGGAACTGTTGATGTTCAGAGATAGTTTCAAAACTATTCAAGTGGGGGATTGTTGGAAATGTGTATGAATAGCTTTGAAAGCTATAGAGTCTCAAGTGGAAAAACTACCACATTGGTAGTTTTACTTGGTGAAATGAGTATAAAGATAGGAGCCTCTCTCCTAAGGGCATGCCCCTTGGGGTGACCCACTTTTGTGGGAGAGGGAGGACCTAACGGACCACCACACACACGCGCGCGCGCGCCGTCCGTCCGTCCGTCCGACCGGTCGGTCGGTTGGTTGGATCACTTGAGACTATATACATATTTTTTGGAGAAATTCCGAACGAAATTAATTATTAATCGGTTATTCTGAGGAATATTCTAAGGGATAATCGATTGAAAAGGAATATTCGAAGGATAATCCCAGCAGGATTTATCCTAACCGACGGTTTTAATTAAGGAAGTAATTATCTTCCTTAATTAATCCGACTTATTCCCCAAGCTAGAGGGTATATTCCTAGGGGTTCGGCTCCTATAAATAGCCGCCTCCCCAGCCCCTCTAAATACACTACAACGAGCATAAACACAATAGAGAGAGTGTTCAGAGAGCTCCGGTTTTCGCACAAAACCGCGAGTACAAAGAGGAGCTGTTTTATCCTGGAGACGACCGGTTGATAGTCTGCCGTGCGCATCGAGGGCAGTGCCGCGAACGTCTTAAAGAAAGCGACCTAGTCCGCGACTCAGCTCCAGATTCGGTTTCCTCATCTTGTTGTTGTTCCGTTTCTAACAATTTTAAGACGCTCGGCTGCTGCTATGTCGACTGAACAGAACAACATGGCCGGATCTGGTGCTGTCGATATCAATCGACCCTTTCGCTTCGTTGGAGTCAACTTCCGTCGCTGGAGACAAAAGATGGAGTTCTACCTGACGACCAAGAAGTTGGCACACTGCCTCACCAGCATGCCCGTCGAGCTGCCGGAAGAAGCGACCGATGAGGAGAGGACTGCTGCTGCTAAGGAAAGGGAGCATGACTTCCTATGCAAGGGCTACATCCTCAACGGCCTGGCAGACGACCTCTACGACTACTATGCGGATAGCAAGAACACCGCAATGATGGTCTGGGATGCGCTCCAAAAGAAGTACGACACGGAGGAGGCTGGAGCTAAGAAGTATGCTGTCAGCCGCTACCTGCGCTATCAGATGGTGGATGACAAGTCTGTCGAAGTTCAGTCCCACGAACTTAAGAAAATAGCTCACGAGATCGTCTCTGAAGGTATGCCTCTGGACGATCAATTTCAAGTTGCTTGCATTATTGATAAGCTGCCCCCTTCGTGGAAAGATTTTAAGAATATGCTGAGACATAAAACCAAAGAATTTTCACTGGAAAGTTTGATTACTCGCCTAAGGATTGAGGAAGAGTCCCGCAAGCAGGATATGAAAGAAGAGGTGATGGTCGTCACTGCTAAACGACCCACCCCTAGAGCTCTTAAACCTAACCAGAAAGGGTTTAAGGGTAAGAACCAGCAGGTCCGCCCCCACCAGAATGGTGCCTCTCGAGGTAACCAAAGGGTCATGGCCCAAACCTCTAAGAATGACCCACCGTTTATCTGCTTTAACTGCGGAAAACCGGGTCATATGGCAAAAAAGTGCAGGAACAAGCATAACCCCGCCGCTGCGGCCAGGGTTAACTTGACAGAAGAGGATTTGGTAGCCATGATCACAGATATGATCGCTGAAGTTAACCTCACCGGTGACTCAGAAGGATGGTGGCTGGATACAGGTGCATCGAAGCATGTATGCAACAATCGTGCTATGTTTAAAACATACGAAGAAGCACCTGCTGACAAGAAAGTGTTGTTGGGAACTACTCACACCACTATGGTCGCTGGTTCTGGTGAAGTGGAGCTGAACTTCACCTCTGGGAAGAAGATGGTGCTCAAGGATGTGTTGCACACTCCAGAGATAAGGAAGAATCTTGTTTCGGGATATCTTCTTAATAAGGCTGGGTTTAATCAATCTATTGGGGCAGACTTGTATACCCTTACTAAGAATGGGAGTTTTGTGGGAAAGGGATATGCATGTAATGGGATGTTCAAGTTGAATGTCGAAATTAATAAGATGAATTCTTCAGTTTACATGGTGTGTGATTTGAATGTTTGGCATGCTCGTCTTTGTCATGTGAACACACGAATTGTGAAGAATTTAAGCAAGCTAGGGCATATCCCTAAACTCTCAATGAATGAATTTGATAAATGTGATTTCTGTAGCCAAGCTAAAATAACGAAAACGCCCCATAAATCTGTGAGTAGAGAATCAGAACCCTTAGATCTGATTCATTCTGATATTTGTGAACTAGATGGGACGTTAACTAGGTCTGGCAAGAGATACTTTATCACTTTCATAGATGATTGCTCTGATTATTGCTTTGTTTATTTGATGAAAAACAAAAGTGAAGCCCTTGACATGTTCAAGGTATTTGTGGTTGAATTCGAAAATCAGTGCAATCGAAAGATAAAAAGACTTAGGAGCGATAGAGGATCAGAGTATGACTCTAATCTCTTCAAGGAATTCTATAGCTCACATGGTATCATTCATGAAACCACGGCACCATATTCACCAGAAATGAATGGTAAAGCTGAGCGGAAAAATAGGACATTTACAGAATTAGTTGTGGCTATTATGCTCAATTCTGGAGCTGCTTCTTCTTGGTGGGGTGATATTTTGTTGACGGTTTGCTATGTGCTAAATCGTCTTCCAAAAACAAATAGAAAAGAATCACCCTATGAGATCTTGAAGAATAAGCCACCTAATCTGTCCTATTTAAGAACGTGGGGCTGTTTGGCCTACGTAAGAATTCCTGATCCTAAGAGGGTTAAGTTGGCTAGTCGAGCATATGAATGTGTCTTCGTTGGCTATGCGGCCAATAGTAAGGCATATAGATTCTATGATTTGAATGCTCGTGTAGTAATAGAATCCATTGATGCTGATTTCTTTGAGACACGATTTCCATTTAAAACGAGAAATAGTGGGGGTAATGTACTACCCGCTATTAGAGATAATGGAACAAGTGGGGGTGTTGGATCTGAGGATGAACTCAGAAGAAGTAAAAGAGCTAGAATCTCTAAAGATTTTGGTGATGACTTTACTACAGTATACACCCTAGAGGATCCAAAAAGTTTGCAGGAAGCATTAACTTCCATAGATGCAGACTTTTGGAATGAGGCCGTTATAGATGAAATGGAATCGTTAGAGGCTAATAAGACTTGGCATCTAACAGACTTACCTCCTGGCTGCAAAGTCTTAGGTAATAAATGGGTTCTAAAAACGAAACGGAAACCTGATGGTGCAATCGAAAGGTTCCGAGCTCGCGTAGTAGTCAAGGGCTACAGGCAGAGAGAGAATATAGATTTCTTCGACACCTATTCACCAGTATCTAGAATAACATCCATTCGTGTCATGATTGCTCTTGCTGCCTTGAACAATCTCGTGGTACACCAAATGGATGTTAAGACTGCTTTTTTGAACGGTGATCTAGATGAAGAAATCTATATGGAACAACCAGAAGGGTTTGTTATCCCTGAACATGCCTCGAAAGTCTGTAAGTTGGACAAATCATTATATGGTTTGAAACAGGCTCCAAAACAGTGGCATGAGAAGTTTGACACTCTCGTTCTCTCACATGGCTTTAAGGTGAATGAAAGTGACAAGTGTATTTACTGCAAGTCAGAGAATAACACTTGCACTATCATATGTTTGTATGTAGATGACATGTTGATATTTGGTACAAATATTCACGTGATCAATGAAGCGAAAGCCATGTTAAAAGAGAGCTTTGAGGTGAAAGATCTGGGAGAAGCAAAGTTTATGCTTGGAATCCAGATAACTAGAACAGCAAATGGTTATTCTCTAGATCAATCCAGTTACATAGAGAAGATCTTGAAGAAGTATAACTATTTCGACTGTAAACCTGCGTGTACTCCGTATGATGCTAGTGTAAAGCTATTCAAGAACACTGGAGACAGTGTAAGACAAACAGAATATGCTAGCATCATTGGCAGTCTCCGTTATGCTGCGGATTACACTCGACCAGACATTGCATATGTCGTGGGATTGCTTGGCAGGTTTAACAGCTGTCCTAGTAGAGAGCATTGGAATGCTATAGAGAGGGTCATGAGATACCTCAAGAGAACAGCAAACCTTGGTATACACTATCAAAGGTTTCCCGCTGTACTAGAAGGGTATAGTGATGCGGATTGGAATACCCTATCAGATGACTCCAAGGCAACCAGCGGATATGTTTTTAACATCGCTGGTGGAGCTGTGTCTTGGAAGTCAAAGAAACAAACAATCCTAGCTCAATCAACTATGGAATCAGAGATGATAGCACTAGCAACGGCTAGTGAAGAAGCAAGTTGGTTGAGAGGATTGTTGTCAGAGATTCCCTTATGGGAAAGCCCGGTCCCTTCGGTATTGATACATTGTGATAGTACCGCAGCTATCGCTAAAGTCGAGAACCGGTTCTATAACGGAAAGAAACGACAGATTCGTCGTAAGCACAGTACTGTTAGAGAACTCCTAACGATAGGAGCAGTGAGGGTGGATCATATAAGATCCGAACAGAATCTAGCTGATCCTTTGACGAAAGGATTACCTAGAGAGAAAGTCCAGAATACCACCAAGGGTATGGGACTTATGCCTACCGAACCACGGACTACAAGTGATGGTAACCCGACCCAATAGACTGGAGATCCCAAGAAATGGGTTCAATGGGTAATAACAAGTCATGAGTAGTATGCGAAAAGTTCATGCATAATGAAGCATGAATCCCAAAGCAATGGAGGTTGAGTTAATAACTCTTAATGAGATCTATACCCTATGTGGGGTGGAGTACTTTACTTTGGGGGTACTCCTGATAGACTCACCTATGTGAATGTGGGAGTGGGGCCGCTCCCTATGGAACTTTGAGAGGCACAAAGTTGCTAGAGCGTTCACTAAACCAGGATAACGTGCATGGCCATAAACGCACGGGCTAAGAAGAGAACACAACTCAATGAAAAGATCCGGTGTGCTACATTGTCTGAGATAGGGTTCAAGACTACGAGTCACCCTTATGAAATCGGAAGTGTAACCACTACGCTAAGGTTCAAATCTTCGCGATACCTTAGCTTATGCCCGATCTTATGGAACTGTTGATGTTCAGAGATAGTTTCAAAACTATTCAAGTGGGGGATTGTTGGAAATGTGTATGAATAGCTTTGAAAGCTATAGAGTCTCAAGTGGAAAAACTACCACATTGGTAGTTTTACTTGGTGAAATGAGTATAAAGATAGGAGCCTCTCTCCTAAGGGCATGCCCCTTGGGGTGACCCACTTTTGTGGGAGAGGGAGGACCTAACGGACCACCACACACACGCGCGCGCGCCGTCCGTCCGTCCGTCCGACCGGTCGGTCGGTTGGTTGGATCACTTGAGACTATATACATATTTTTTGGAGAAATTCCGAACGAAATTAATTATTAATCGGTTATTCTGAGGAATATTCTAAGGGATAATCGATTGAAAAGGAATATTCGAAGGATAATCCCAGCAGGATTTATCCTAACCGACGGTTTTAATTAAGGAAGTAATTATCTTCCTTAATTAATCCGACTTATTCCCCAAGCTAGAGGGTATATTCCTAGGGGTTCGGCTCCTATAAATAGCCGCCTCCCCAGCCCCTCTAAATACACTACAACGAGCATAAACACAATAGAGAGAGTGTTCAGAGAGCTCCGGTTTTCGCACAAAACCGCGAGTACAAAGAGGAGCTGTTTTATCCTGGAGACGACCGGTTGATAGTCTGCCGTGCGCATCGAGGGCAGTGCCGCGAACGTCTTAAAGAAAGCGACCTAGTCCGCGACTCAGCTCCAGATTCGGTTTCCTCATCTTGTTGTTGTTCCGTTTCTAACAGGACCAAGTGTTAATTTGTTAAAAAAATTCAAAGCGAGTTGAACACATTGTTGACCAATTTTAGATCGAACGCGAGTTTTGTACGCTTTAATATATTTTGTTATTTCTCATTTTCCTTTTCGTTGAGAATGACAATTGAACTCTAACCCATTGTTGACGCGTTTCGTATCGAGAGCAAGTTTTATCTGCTTTTGTAATTGACAGGTTGGGTAAATTGTGAATTTGATAAAATTGGGTCGACCCGATCAAAGCGAGTTAGTGTTGAGAGTTTGGGGTCATGAGTGAGTTTTATCCGCTGTTATCTTTTTTCTTTTGGTTGAGAATGACAATTGAGTTCAAACGCATGGGTATACAACCTAATTTGACCCGACCGAAGCGACTTGAACCCTTTACAAGTTTTCGGTGGGAGTGAGCTTTATCTGTTTTTTTAATTGGCATGTTGTGTTAGGTGTGAATTTGTCCAAAACAAGGTCCAATCAGGTCAAAGCGAGTTGAATTTGGTGTTGACGAGTTTTGAGTAGGTAGCGAGTTCTAGCTTTAGTGTTTTTCATTTCGCTTTTTCCTTTTGTTTGAGAAAGACAATTGAACCCAAATCCATGGGTATCCAACCTAATTTGACCCGAGCAATGCGAGTTGAACCTCCTCAAACCTGCAATCAATCCAAAAAATTCATAAAGAAGAACCACGATTACCTCAAACCCAAAAAAAGCCAAAAGAGTACAACTATGTTTGGCCGAATTTTAGAAGTTTTATGCATCAAAAGTTGAAGTCAAGCCAAACACTTCTAAAGTTTCGCTTTTTTAAAAAACTAAAGTTTTTCGTACCTTAAAAGCAGAAGCTCCGATTTGAAAATACAAAATTGTCTTTACCCTATATCATTCTTTTTCTAGAAAACGTAAAAATTTTCATTTATATCATTATAAAAATAAATTGAAAAACAGTATTATTTAATATGAAATAAATCTAACGTGATCCATTTTAAATACTTTTTAATTTTTAGAATTTGTATTCATATTTTATATTAGAAATTTCTTTTAGTCATTTTTCATTACCTCTTAAATTAGAAAGTAATTCTGATAGTTTTTCAACTAAACACTCAATAATTTTTTTTAAATACAATTTGAAAAGATACAGAGAAGTTGCTTCATTCTGCAAAAGTTACAGCAGGATCAATTACAAGCCATACAAATTGAAGCGTCATGAAAGAAGTTTAAACATAAAAAATATATTCGACGACTCTTCTACCTTATGAAAGTTCATCGACTATATGCTATTGTAAATAACAAATATATGAAAAAAATGATTAAGAATGAAATAAGATTACTTTCACTTTTGGGTCAACATTGACACTATTACTTTTTAAAATATTTATTTTTTTAATACGCGAAGCGATAGTGAGCGAGTTTTTGCTAGTATATATCTAATAAAGGCAGTAATTGGATGAAAGAGCATCATTTTCATGCATGGCATGCGTTACTAATCTTGTACCTTAGAGCCACATTTGGCCTTGGACATATAGAACGCAATTGTATGTACGCACTTAACTTCAAATCATACATTTTTTTCTCCCAAAAATACTTCGTATTAAACGAGATAATCGAGATACACAAGAGTCAGCTGGCCGACAAGAGACAGGAACAATAAAAAGGGTTTTTTTGTCCACCATATCCATATGAAACACCCTATTACGATACTTGACAATTCAACTTAAGGAAAGAAATAAAAATGAAAGTGGATCGGGCGGAGACTACAGAACATGCGCGCTGTAGCAAGTGGAAAGAAAGAGGAGATCAGAGAGTGGGTACTCTCTCGACAGAGCTGGAAAGAACAGTGAGCAAGTTGTTTGCGAAAGGATCGGTGAGATGCTTAGAAAGGTTCTCGACTGGACCTTCCCCTGTAACATAAGCTTGCAAGAAGAAACCAAGCATCGCAAACATGGCTAGTCTACCATTCTTGATTTCCTTCACCTTGAGGAGTGCGGCTTGGTCTGGGTCGCTGGCCAGCCCCAGTGGATCGAATGGCCCGCCCGGGTGAAGCTTGTCCTCCAACTCCTATTCATTCAAAAATCAATATCAGTAAGTAATTAGCGAGTGTTTCTAAGTTGGTTGATTCGACGTTAAATTATTAGGAACAGAACAGAGAAGGAAAACAATATTAATTACCAAGCCATTAATAATTCTGTAGTATTCGGCACCGCCAAGAAGGACGACCTCCGCGACAACGGCTACCACAAGGTTGATGGGGATGTTGTTCCCGAAGTAGTTGAGGGTGTTCCCATCCAAAAGCAGAGCTCCTGTCTGCATTCATTGTAACCATAGGCACATAGATAATTAATTAATGACAAAAAAACAATCTATTCTAAGCTGCTGCACTGCAATGTGTCAAGAACCAGTTGATCCCAATAACTCGAGTTGTTGGGAGAGGTTCAATCGTGGATCATATACCACAACACTAACACGCCCCCTCAAACGAAAGTCACTCACAAGGGCTTGAAGTTTGCACAGGTCTAAAGACAAGAATACCATGTGCTTAACAAATGGGGGTCACCGGGAATCGAACACAAGACTTCTCGGTCATAGAAGGCTCTGATACCATGTCAAGAACCAGTTGATCCCAATAACTCGAGTTGTTGGGAGAGGTTCAATCGTGGATCATATACCACAACACTAACACAATGCATCCAAAACATTCACTATAAACTAGATATATGCATGCAATTTACCTTGAACCAGACAGCCTCAGGCCCGCAGTTAGCACCGTACTTGTTGAAAGCTTCAGGGATGATGAACCCAGCAGCTCCGAGCATTGCCCACCGGGCGTGAATCAGCTCGTACGCCTGATACCTGCAACAAATTAAGCAACCTCCAGTTACTTGAATTTGATTGTGTAAGGGAATGTATTGAATGTAATTTGTAAATGATGGTACTTGGCGAAGTCTTCTGGCTTCTTGCTGAGCCCAAAAGGATCGTAACCATAACTGCAGTAGGAAGAAACAATAGCGAAGCAATCCATCATTAGTAATAATAATAATAACAATTGGGAGGTGGGTTCTGATTTGCTAGCTTACTCTCCGGGGACTTCTCCAGTCAGGTACTCGGGAATCTCAGAACGGTCCAACAGTCCGTCGGGAAGGAAGATCCTTCTATCAGGGCCTGATCGACCACAGTGGAAACCAGACACAAACTAATTAATACAGCAATTAGCTAGCAAGCGAAGCGGAGCAGAGCAGAGCGCGAACAGGGGAAAAGAAAAGGTGAGAAGAACTTGTTTGTTTCTTTGTTGGTTGGGTTAGTGATATATTTTACTCACCATACCACTTGGCGAGTTCTTCAGAGACAGAGGAAACAGCGGGAGAGGGCTTGGATCTGGGAGGCGGAGGAGGGGGAGAAGAAGCAGCCTTCTTGAACTTTGAGAAGAGAGCAACTATCTTGAAAGTGGAAGTGGAGGAGGGGCCTGATGCAAGGGACCTGCTGCTGCTGCTGCTGCCATTGAAATTCAGAGCATTCCCCAGCATCTCCGACGCTCCCAGCGACGCCGCTGCTGTTGATGCTGCCACCGAAGCCGCCATAATTAACCCCCCCACCTCGCCCCCCTCTGAGGAAATGAAGCAATAATAGTAACGATGCTACCCTCTATCCCTTGCTGCCTGACTTTCTTTACTGTGTAGTCTTAGACGACCTGGCTCTCTGCAGCTGCTGCTCTGTTTTTATGGGATGGATGAAGCATGAGCTAGCTTAACTGGGATAGATAGTGGATGAAAACGTGACACCTCGGATTCATTGGCGCGACTCGTCCTGCTTCCCTATTGGTTGCCTGTAATCCCATGCTCAGATTTGATAGGTCGACCCCGTTGACGTGGCAGATTACAATACTCCTAATTGCTAAGCCTGAGATGTGGCCGGCATCCGGATCAGGCTGTGGCTGTGGCTGTGATGTGGCTATTATATTTTTATAATATATTGTTATTATATGATCATACATACAGAGAGAAACGATTTTGTCCCTATCCTGATCCCATTTTTCATCCATCCATCTGCTGAGCAGTGGATTTGGGTCCCGGACTGGCTGCTGCCCTAGTACACTGTACACACCTCACTCACTCTCATCTTAAGCACCATGACGGGCTAAGATCAGGTGACTAAGGGGGTCCCTTAGTCACATAATTAAGTCAATCTAAGCCATTGAACCTCATTAAAATCCAATGGTTCAGATTTATCTAGTTTAATGAAGGGTAAGGTGGTAATTACTTAATTTATTTAACAACTAAATTAAAAAAAAAAAGTACGGCATCCGCCCTCCCCGCCTGCGGCCGCTGGGAATTTCTCCCGCCGCTGCCGACTTCCGTCGTCCGCGCCATTATTTTGCCGGCGGTGGTCAGGGAATCTCCCACGCCATTATTTTATAATGGCCGCCGCCCAGGAGAGAAATCTCTCCCTATTTTTTTGCCCAGGGTAATTGTGAGAGAGAGAGAGGGTAATTGAGAGCGAGAGAGAGAGAGAGAGGGTAATTGAGAGAGAGAGAGAGAGAATCGGAAACTTTTTTGGTCGGAAAATTTTCTGGTCGGAAAAAATTTTCCGGCGACCATCGTGGACGGAGAAATATTTTCCGGCGACAGTGCCAATTTTGTAATGTTTGTTGACATATTTTGTAATGTTTGTACGCTTTGTTATTTTGTAATGTTCGTAAACTTTGTTATTTTTGTTCACCATGTTCGTACTGTTTGTATGTCTAAAAAACACCCGGGTTGACTTTGGGAAGGAGCCCCTCTATATAGGGATGGAGCCTCCAAAGTCAACCCGGGAGTTTTTTCCCGTTCGTATGGATTGTCGGTCTAGTTTGTCATTTTTGTCCACCATGTTCGTACTGTTTGTATGTCTAAAAAAACACCCGGGTTGACTTTGGGAAGGAGCCCCTCTATATAGGGATGGAGCCTCAAAAGTCAACCCGGTTGTTTTTTCTTTTTGTATGGTTTGTATTGTTTGTCGGTCTAGTTTGTATTGTTTGTACAGTTCATACGTTTGTAATGTTTGTAAATCTGTTTGTATGTTTTGTCGCTCTAGTTTGTACACTTCATATGTTTGTATGGTTTGTACTGATTGTAAATCCGGTTTGTATACTTCGTAATTTTTCATAATACCCAAACTACCCCTGTCATTAATTAAATAGCAATTCCCACTTTTTAACCATTGGATTGAAGTGTCCAGATCTAATGGCTAGGAGGGACTTAGTCAAGTGACTAAGCACCCCCCTTAGTCACCAGATCCGCACTCGCACCATGACTCATGTGGTGCCTTCTTAAAAAAAACTCATGTGGTGCCAACTGTGACCCAAGAGTGCAAATTTATACATAAAACTGTATTTTGTTAGCCTAATTAACGCTTATGATATAAGGACATCCTTGTACCTTGCAAATTTGTATGGGAGGACAAGGAATACAACAATGTATAAACATCTTTTTTTTATCAGTGGAATATTGATTACTTTTGTGATTCGTACTAGTTAAGGGATTCGAATCCGGAACCTCAAGTTCAAGACTAGTGATATTACTACTAGACCAATATCTTATTCGTAACAATGTAAGAACATCCTTAAGGCCTGAAATCATAAGGACATTGAATCGTGTTGCATAAAATTAGGAACAATTTATTGGTTACATCAATTAGTATAACAAGAATTTAATGAGCTTTCACCTTAGTTGTAATTAGGGGGCTATAAATAAACCGAATGGCTCACTAACATCTCTAGGTTAAACTCGAGAAATAAAACTCGTCGATACTAAAAAGGTGGAGGACTAAAAATAAGAATGATATGACTAAAAACTCACAGATAACATAGGGTTGTTGTTGGGTAGCTTGAAAGCAGTTTTCTACTATTACTTTTGGCAAATGACCACACCATAGAGGTTTCTGAACAAACTAGAGAGGAGGTGACCCCAAAAGAGCTCAAACTCTTTTTTTTAGTTCCATCGTAACAAATGGCAGAAAGAGAAGGCGTCAAACACTCTACTCATTAAAGACGTGCAAACCTTGAGCTAAACTTCGTTCAGCTAGCGAGGCTCGCAAACCAGCTCAACTTGTGAGCTGGCTAGTTTTGAGCTCTTGAGATTGCTCGTCAATGTGGCTAGCGAGCCAACTCGTCAAAAGAAAGACATGTATAAATAGTTAAATACTCCTCTCATCTGTGAGGTAAGTTAATGAAAGGAAAACACACAAGTCATTTCCCCTAATCTCTGAACGAAGAACTTAAAATTAAGCGTTAGAAGGTCCTCAAGTTGACACAACTTCAATAGATCATCCTAGGTATCTAGGATTATATTTAAAAGCTCCAAACAAGCATATGCATAACTTCATAAACAACCCACAAAAGGAGTCTTAAGGGTACTTTTGTGTTTAGACATGCATAGAAGGGTTGAACTTGGATACCAAAGCTAGTCAACACCTTACACAAGAAGTTTCACCACCACAGCCTTGTATAATTCATTACCAACACACCAAGCAATCTAAAGGTACTACCACCAAAGATAAAGAGATCATAACTTTACCAATTACCATTTCCAAGTTGGTCCAAACAACAAAATATGATCTTTCACTACAAGTGCACGGAAGATCAACAAAATGATGCAATACATATTACAGACATGTGTTGTTGGAGTTATGGCTACCTCGACAAAATTTTCTTATCTTCTGCCATTCACAAAACAATTTTGTTCACAGTGGACGACGATAATCAACTATGCGCAACCAAGAGACACAAACTAAAGCGAAAAATGATTCAGAATATAGCAAAATAAGACAAGGGAACTATCCTCCTCCTTAAGTTATCATACAGACAATGTGGTTTCAGATTTATGCTAGATTTATTTCTGACCTTCGTAAACCAGTCGTCAGCTGATATTTCCATCTTCTGTTGACTCGACAGAGGAACTTCCCAATCTCCGTACGCGGATGCAAGTTAACAAGAAATTTCCTATACGATGCACCAAGAACAGATGCAACTAAAGATTGTCAAAAGATAAAGAGAACTTGACATTGGATTTTGAAATAGATCTGCCCCGAACTTGATACAAGCCCTGAAGCCAGGGCATCGCCTACTATCAAATATCCCAAGAAGAGACCAGAAACCCAAAAACATCTCATACACGTATCACTTTCCATGCCAACGCAAAAAAGAAAAAACCCATTGATACACAACACCCATTATGCGTAATAGGCATCCACAAAACACTGTATGCAGAACCATACTGTCATAAATTTGCACCCCAATAATCCCGAAACAGAAAAAAATTGGTTACAGCATGCAGTTATATACACCAAGTATCCAACAGTTCTATGTACACATGTTGCACGCCTATACAGAGTAGTTTGCTGAGGAAACCAAGCTCTCAACATATGTAACTCAATCTCTTACCTTAAGGGTAACATCTGAGAGAATACCGCCTGACTGTCTTGGGCTTGATGGAACACTATGGAACTTGACAACCAACACCTTAAAACACGGCAAAAGTATCACAAACAATGCTCCGAGAATAGCTGGTGCTGCAACAAGCCATCCCAATAGCTGCAGAATCAACGTAGCATCACTCAGATCTCATATCACTATACGAAGCAGATCCTGAAAATGGAGATAAAGGTGCCAACGTACAAGCAAGAAAATCATGAACCACAAATGCTGCTGATTCTATACGTCCACTATGCAGTTAGGCTGATGATCATTAAAGACAATCCACTAATAATAATAAAATAAAAGCCCATGTGTATCCCTAAGTAACAGCCTTCAGTCTAATTCAGCAATTTCTATTAGCAATCACCATGGATGCTTGGGCTACTGTTCTGTCGTACAATCACCATTGATTAACCGCAATGAGTAGCTAACTGTTCTACCTCGAACAACGTAACTTTCTTGCCCGTCAGTTATCTGAATGTCTTAGGCTCTTAGCTAATTTTGTTGAAGCGCAAGCCATTCATTACATACGCAAATAATGTTGCAGCCCAAAAACATAACATCATGCTAGTAGGTCAAATCCATGAAATATGATCTATTGGCTGTGAGGAATAAAGATGCTAACGTGTTACTTCGAACCAAGCTTGGCAACCTACCGCATGAAGAACACTTTGAACGACTTCATGAGAAGCTTCCCCAGTCAAGACCTTCTTCAAAGCATCAGATGTCAATGGAAAATGGGGTCCACCAATTATAACTTCCCCAAAACGCAAGAATGGTACAACAAGACTTGTAAGAGAAAATATGTTTAAGAAGTCAGTAAACAAGGAAACCAAACATGTCCGTACCTATATGAAGCTTGAAATAAATAAAAAAGTTTAAGAAAGAGTCATTTGCATTCCCCAAAAAACACATTTCATAAAAAATCAGGGAAGAAAACAAAAAACAAAAAAAACCTATTACTGCTTAAAAGCTCAACCTCTTCTCATTCTAATAACAGTTTCTAAGATCAACTTGTAACCCCAAGCAATATCCAAAGTAGAAAAAACAATTGACCCAGATAACATAATGAAAGCACATATTACCTCAGCTCAATAGGCGTTGCAATAAGGTTTGCTAACATCACGGTGGGAGCATGGCAGCGCGATCCAAGTAATGCAATTGCCATCCCACACAGCAGAGCAGTGACTCCTGAAGACGACATCAGGGCTAATACTTTGAGTAGCTTCCAATGTTACTCTTTAAATTTTATTTCAAACGTTAGAAATGTTACAGGAATCTAAATATGGGAAAACTACATTCAGCCACAGCACCTTTTTCATTGGCTAACAATATAGATGTCAGAAGTAACTCGAGAGGAACTCATAAACCTTTGTGCTAAACGATAAGCGCATAATCCCTTAAGTTACAGGAATCTACATAAGGGAAAACTACATTCAGCCACATACACCTGTCACAAACAGCTACTTTGCAATTTAAATTTTCCTGACGAGATACAAGATAGAGTTCATAAATGCTTTTTTATGTCCAAGGCTATCATCTCCTTGCATAATCCCATGTTAACGATATGGTTCAAAGAATTTTATCCCAGCATCATCTATAACTACATCTCGCGCCCACTTAACATGTATGCATCCTTGCTGTCAAAGTCGATTTGATGAAGGCTTTTGACTCGGTTCATTCGGGTTATTTGTTCATGGTTATGCAAAAGATGAATTTTCCTCCTAAGTTTCTAGAATGGATTAAAATCTGTTTAGAAACAGCCAGCTTCAGTGTGACTGTGCAGGGCAGTCTCTTTGGGTTTTTCGTAGCTAAGAAGGGTGTGAGGCAGGGTGATCCGTTATCACCTTACCTCTTCACTATCGCTATGGAACCCCTATCTTCCATGTTGAACAGAGCAGTGTTGACTAGACAGATTCCCTTTCACCCCCAATGTAAAGCCATCGGACTAACACGCCTTAGCTTTGCTGACGATCTACTGATTTTCACAGAGGGTTCAGCTCAGGCTTTAGAATGTTTAAGGAATGTGCTTGATGTGTTCTATAGACTTTCAGGTCTCCGATGTAATCCGCTTAAGTGTGAAGTGTTTTTTGGAGGAATGGCGGAGAGATCAAAACAATTAGCCCAGGACAGATCTGGGTTCAAGGAAGGCAGGCTGTCGGTGAGGTACCTAGGAGTGCCTCTTCAATCTGGATCGCTGTCTAGTATTGATTGTAACTTGCTCATAGATAAGTTGACCAGCAGAATTAGATCATGGCGTGCCAACAAACTAACATATGCTGGGAAACTACAGCTGATCTCTTCAGTTCTCTACTCCATCACCCAGTTCTGGATGACAGTCTTTATGCTGCCAAAGAAAGTTATCAATCAAATTCAAAAAGTCTGCTCTGATTTTCTCTGGTATGGTGAGGGTACTGGGAGGGCCAAAGCCAGATGGGATTTGATCTGCTTGCCTAAGAAGGAGGGAGGATTAGGGCTGCGAGACCTATATACTTGGAATGTGGCCTGTGTTTGGCAGAATGGTTTGGACGCTTCTCATGCGTGGGGGCTCGTTTTGGGTGGCTTGGATCGAGAAACACAGGTTAAAAGGGAGATCACTGTGGTTACTTCCTGAAACGCAAACTGGATCTTGGCTATGGAGAAAACTTCTCCAGCTGAGATCATGGTTTCAGTATCGATTGATAGGAGGAGATGCTGGGGTCACTTGGGAGGGAAAGTTACTAGAGACTTTCTCCATTCGAGCAGTGTGGCAGACTATTCGACCTAGAAATCAAGTAGTGAGGTGGTACTCAGCATTGTGGGGGAAGTTTAACACACCTAGGCATCGATTCCTAACAAGGTTAGTCATACATCATCGGATCAAGACTCGAGTGCAACTAAAAGATTGGGGTATTGCTGAATCTGATCTATGTTTACTTTGTCATACTGAGCCTGAAAAGTAGAGATGTACTTGAGCTTTCACAGCTGCCAGGAAAAGTAAGGAGGAGTTGTTGCTTCAGCTCAAGGAAGAAGTTAGATATTATTGTATAGGCAATACTGAATTTCATCAGGAATTGGTTTGTAACCCTGTTTACTTTCAGGTCTGGAATAATGGCAGTAGTTGATTCAATGTAGTTAGCAATTAGCAAAGTTAGCAGCTAGCAGTAGCTATAGAATTTGCAAGTGATAGAATTAGCAGATGATCTTTTTTTATGTACATTGCTGCATATAGCAGATGTATTTTTCGAGGATGCTTGGTTTCATCAAGCTTGAGCTTAATAAAGAGACAACAACAATTACCGGGGGGGGGGGGGGGGGGGGGGGGGGGGGGGGAAGCAAGGAGATAACAGCCAGGAGCAATTAGTCAGGCCGCAATGAGAATAACGAAGATGGGAACCTCATAATTTTGCTAGATCTGAGGTCATGGACCAATTTTCAATCAGGGAAGCAATACAAAAGACCTGCTGCATGGAAAGTGATACATACCACAAATGGGAAAGACTCCTAGGGTAAAGCCAAGAGCTGCAGAAAATGCTAATTGCTTTGGTTCCATCCCTCTGCGGATAAGAGAAACACAGACATCAAGAACAGAATCAAAATCGAAAACTGAATGAATCAATAAAGTTTCTCCACAAACAACCAACGAAATCCACTTTAACAAATGGAATTCTACATAAGAAGCCAACGGCATACAATTAGCGGGAAACCGTAAACTCCAAGAAATCAGGTCAGCGGAAGAGCTGCAATTATACAGCATTCAATATTTTTACCACCGACTCCAAACATGACTAATAGCAATATTATCATTTCATCTATCGAAACGGGCAAATGAGAGATGCAGGTACCCTATGGTAATAGAAAACAAATGAGTTTACAAAGGTGAAAATCATTATTTTATAATCATAATGTAATTATTCAAAACGAAGATCGAAAGCAAAAGGACAGAGTACCTGCGCAGGATTTGGTGGAGAGGATCGACCACCCTCTTGCTGAACCAAGCCCCCAAATCAATCTTCGATACGGCCACCATTTCCTCTTCTCTCCTTACTTTGTCTGCTTCAAGCAGGGGTTTGAAATAGTTCTGCTCTCTCCCTGCTTTTCTGATCATAACCCATCACAGTGACAGTTGAGCAGTGAGGAAGAAGAAAGCAAACTAATTAAGAAAGCATATACAGTGGGTGAGAGGAGAGCAGAAGGTGATCGAACTTGGATCTAGCTTAGGAAAGTCTAATTTAGGTTGGACTGTTGGAGGAATCGGTTAGATCTAGTTGATAAGGGATTTAAAGAGTAGCAGAGCAGTGAAATTAAGTTGCACATAATCTAAGGAAGGAAGCGGATGTATGATAGCTGCGATTACCTTATCAACGGCAAAAGGGGAAACGAAACGAAAGGCCACGGTTGCGGAGGCGGTCGCTAGCGCTGTTCAGTTCGTCTATGGGCACGGCCGCACGGATGTTGGGAGTTTGGATCGGAGATTCTGGAGGAGTTATGCTATGACGACGCTGAAGGGATGGGATGGGATGGGATGGGATAGGATGGCCGGATGGGTTGGAGAAGAAGAAAGAAGGGAACTTAACGGAAGAAGGAACGTTGTGTTTGCTGGAGGGAAGAGAGAGAAGGCGAAAGGAATTATGCAATGCAGAATCTGGAAGCAAGAACGTCTACGGAAAATCAAATATGAAACGCGAATCCTGATGAAGAAACGTGAAACGGCTGACCATAGACGAAAATAACACAAAGAAAATGTCTAAATTCGAAACGTAACATTTTCGCAAATTAAATTTAGGCCAAATATACTTGTATAGCCAAAACTTTGACGGTTTTGCCAAATATAGCCACTTTTGGCGAAATACCAAAAATAGCCATTTCCGTCCAATTGTTTGACGGTGTTAGTTAACGTGCTGACTGGACTAACAGCAGTAGTTGACGTGGCATATTTTATTAAAATATAATGTTATGTGGAAAATAATTAAAATTTTATACTTATATTTTTTATCAAATTAAATTAAAAAATCATAAAAAAAAATAAATGTCTTTCTCCCCACCACCACCGCCTGTTCATCTTCAACAATACTTCCTACCAGAAGCTTCCTCTTCTGCAATAAGCTTCCTCTTCAGTAATCACTAGGATAGAAGCCTTCCATAACCCAAACAACAAACAATTAAGTGTTCAACCCTAGTCCCCTCATCACTCTTCGTTCTCTCCTTCTCTCCCGACGACCTCCCCAGTCCCCCACTATCGGCAGATGCCGTGAAAAGTAGTTTTTGCCTCAAATCTTGACGCCTCTTTTCTGCCCATAAAACACAAACCCAAAAAATTCAAAAACAAAATCATCGCCATCTCTTCCTACCATTTTCAGATCAAACCCCCCAAATCACACAATCAAATATCCAAAAACCCATAAATCCCTAACTCTCCAGATCGGCCTTCCTTCCTCGATCTGTGAGTCTGAGACAGAGGAGACGATGATAAAGCCAAGAAGCCCCAAAGATGTCGTCGTTCTTAGTGGTGCGACCCAGATGGAAGATCAAGCGACCCAAATCCCAAATCCCAAAATCCATAAATCCCTAACTCTCCCACAGACCAGCATCGTCAGAAGCCGCCATGCCGTGCCAGAGCGAGAAGAGGATGAGCGGTTGTCTTTGCCGCCAGCAAGATGATGCATGATTGCCTTTGTCGAAGCCGGAACGGAGATGGAGGAGTGAATCGGGGAGACGAGCCGGACTGGATTGAGGGGTGACTCGACGGAGGGGTGGATCGGCTGGATCGGTGTGTTCGTCGATGAGTGTTGTCGTCGATCTAGAGTGATGGCGGAGGAGTTTCGATGAGAAGATTGGATGTACATCTTGTGGAAAGAAGAGAAAAGGAAGAAGGTGGAGGGTTTCAGGGAGAAGATTGAGATCGATTTTTTCGGAGCTGGAAAGAAGGATAAGGTAGATGAAGTGGGAAGGAAAGAAAATAAAAAATTAAATTTTTATTGGTGAAGGTTTTGTTGGTGAAGATGAAGTGAGTGGAAAGAAAATAAAAATAATTTAAAAATAATTTGTTAAAAAATTAAATTTTTAATGTGACGTGGCATCCCACCTGTCAATGGATGCTGAGGTGGGAAGGAAAGACATGGTGAGGTGGCAGCCACATCAACTGTCCGTTAAATAGACTAACGGTGTCATTGACGTCGTCAAATTATGTAACGGAAATGGCTATATTTGTCATCGAAATTTCAAAAATCTGGCTATTTATGGTATTTCTCCAAAATTGGCTATATTTGTCACAATCGTCAAAGTTTTGGCTATGCAAGTGAATTTGGCCTTAAATTTATGCGCTGAAGAAATAAAAAGAAGTTTTTGCTTGAGATGAAATCAAAGTTAAGTAAATTATACAAAATAACGAGAATTAATGAAGTCCTATTACAACCTCAAAAAATTGTTATCTCTATCTCTAGAGTTAACATTGTCATTTTATGAACAGTTTAATTGTGTTTTGAGTAGTATTGATAAATTCTACACGATATATGAAAAATATAATGACAAAAATAAAAACGACACACGATTTTATGTGGTATCTCTGAACGATTTGTTCAAGACTAATCCACGGGAAAGCAATAGCTCTCCAGGTTATGTTATTGGCTGATGATGAACTTGTGTTACACTGCCAGTGAGTGACCTTACAAGTCTATATATTATCATATGTAACCCTACTCCAAGTCCTTATTGCACTAGGGCAAATAGACGTACAAATCGACGTAGTCATGCTGGCTACAGGACACGACTCGGAGATGGGCTCATCAGTTGGGCTCGACACACTCTCCTGGCCCAATACGCCCCCACAAGTTGGACGGTGGAGGTCACGCACGTTCAGCTTGGAAAGCAAAAATAAAAAACTATCAGCACCCAACTTTTTGGTGAAAAGATTAGCCACCTGGAGATGGGAAGTGACCTTGACTAGCAAGATAGCTCCGGAGACAACACGTTCACGAACAAAGTGACAATCCATCTCGACATGCTTAGTCCGTTCGTGAAAGACCGGATTAGCAGCAATATAAATAGCAACTTGATTGTCACAGTGAAGAGTAGTAGTAGCAGCTTGAGGTGCGCCTAGCTCGGCAAGAAGCCATCTAAGGCATAAGACTTCACTGATAGTGAAAGCCATGGCCTTATACTCAGCCTCTACAGAGGAACGGGCAACGACCTTTGTGTTGCTTGGTGCGCCAGGAGACTGGTGGGGCGCCAAGGAAGATGCAGAAACCACTGTTAGAATGACTGGTGGTTTGACAGCCACCCCAGTCTGCATCACAATAAGCACGAAGCTGAAGATCATTCTTAGCCGGGAAGTAGAGCCTTTGACCGGGAGACGACTTTAGATACCGCAACAGACGAACAACACCATCCATATGAGCCTATGTGAGATCATGCACGAAATGACTCAAGATATTAACACCGTAGGTGACGGACGAGACACGGTGAGGTAGAGGAGACGACCCACAAGGCGACAAAAGGGAGAACCATCAACAAGAGTCGCTTGAGAGGGCTAGGTCAACTGGTGGTTGTGCTTAATGGGAAAAGCATTGGGACGAGCGCCAAGCACACCAACATCTTCAAGAATATCAAAAACATACTTTTGCTGACTGAGGATCATGCCTCGTGGAGACCGTGCCACTTCCAAACCAAGCAAGTAACACAAGGTGTCGAGATCTTTGATACTGAAATGACGATCTAAGAATTGGTTGACTCATGTAATGAAGTCCATATCTGTGCCAGCAAGAATGATGTCATCAACATAAATCAATGCAAAACAAAGGAGGTACCTTGACTGTAGATGAAGAGTGAATGATCGACAGGAGACGCTCAAAAACCAAGCTCACAGAGAGCCAACGTGAATTTGTGATACCAATTTCACGAGGTTTGCTTGAGACTATAAATACACTTGTGAAGACGATATATCCGCTTGTCATCGGGTGCGGCAAACCCTGAAGACATCTTTATGTAAACAACTTCCTCTAGATCGTTGTGAAGAAACACATTATCGACATCCAGTTGATGAATGAACCAGCCACGAGCCCACGACAAGGAGACAACGAACAGTGACAAGCTTGACACCATGCACAAAAGTATCATGATAATCAACTCCTTCAACCTGTGTGTACCCCTTGGCCACAACACGAGCTTTGAAGCGTTCAATCACACCATTGAGAAGAAATTTTGTGCGGTAGACCCATTTACAATCAATGGGAGTGACTCCAGGAGGAAGCTCAACGAGACTCCATGTCTTATTTGCTTCAGAGCATTGACTTCTGTAACCATGACCGCTCTCCAATGTGCATAACACACAGCTTGGTGAAAATAGTGAGGGTCTCTAGAGCTATCAACAACAACTATGAAGGCTCAAAAAGACGGTAATGCTCGAGCATGGGAGACATGGTGGGATATAGGATATCGGATGTGAGAAGCTTGATGGGCAGTTATATCATAGATATCCAACCGCAGGTTCTTAAGGTGGTGTAGGCACATGCGGTGTGTACTCCTCTTGGAGGGGGCTGCCGAGAGTAGCAGGTGAAGAGGAGGACGCTTCGCTCGAAGCAGGACTGATGGGAGACAAGCTGGCATGGGACAACGAGGTCGACAAGGAAGGAGTGACAGAAGAAGCAGCACGCGGGCTCTCGGGATTGAGAGGGACGACTTCAGCCGCTGCTTGCGGAGTGACGTCAGCCGCTGCTTGAGGAGAACTAATACTGAATATGAATTTATCTAGTTTTACATATGAGTTAACATCTGGACGAATGTGAGTTGAAATAGTACAAATAATGAGAATTTGATTATTTTTCAGTTGACACTAAATATGACAAAACTTGGCATAAAATATGAGTTGAGTAAGCAATAAGTATTAGTCAACTTTGTATTGAATATGACTTGAACCGACACTGAATATGAATTTATCCATAAGTTAACCCATATTTAATGGAGGCTAAACTCATATGCATTGTGAGTTCAAATGATATTTAGTGTCAAATATGACTTGAACTCACTACGAATATGAATTTACTTGTTAAATACTTAAATATGAATTGACATTTGGATAATATAAGTTTAACTGGTACCAAAGACGACGATTGGATTTTTGAGTTGGTTGACACTCAATATAATAGTATTTGGTACTATGGATGAGTTGAATAAATATTGGATATTACTTTACATTGCAGTGAATATGAATTGAACAGAGCTTGAATATCAGTTTAGTTGTTGTTAAATATGAATTGACATTAGGAAGAATATAATTTAAGTGGTACCAAACAATCAAATTCTACTTATTCAACTCATATTCGTTCACATGTTAATTCTTATTTAAAACCAGATAAGCCCATATTCTGTGTAAGTTCAAGTCATAATCCGTACAATGATATTGAATTGAGTTTACCAATAATGAAGTTGAGTTCACCTTGTATGGAATGACTCACTTCTACTAAATATGAATTTAGTGAATATGAGTTGAGATAATTCCGGAATATGACTTTACTTTGTAAAGTAATATAAGTATGAGTTAACTGATATTCAATGTTTACTCAATAAATATTGAAGTCAAATATATCGATCTCCACTATAGTACTAGTTCAACTAATATTTGATACTAGGTTAGATCTTATTCAATACCATATTAACTGATATTCAATGTTTGCTCAGCACATGTTAAAGTCAAATAAACCAATTCTCAGCTCTAGTAGCAGGTCAATTAATATTCCATACAAGGTAAACTAGTATTATGTACTAACCTCAACTGATATTCACTGTTAACTTATATTTACTGTTTACTAAATGAGACCAACCTCAACTACATCGTCTACAATCTGTCTTCAGGGAAAAAAAAAAATATTTACTGCAAGGTACACTTACAATTGCTAGAAAAGGAATTGAAAAAAATACATAGCAAATAACCCACCAATAAACTCTCAATGATATATACATATACAACATCATATACAATTACAACAGCCTGAAAGGATTCACTCTAGTCTTCATGATCTGATGGGTTAAAAGATCTGTTTGCGATCAAATTGAGAAGAGCTGTAATCCGGATGAAATGCTTCCAATCAAAATGCCCATCATCCAAAAGAATCCACGCCGAGCCATCCTGAAAATTAGTTAATATGAATATGAATTTACCTAGTATTATATATGAGTTAATATCTTAATGAATATGTGTTGAATCAATCACAACATATATCATATATGTTTACATCTACTATTCATTACATACGCACACTACAGGCTGCAAGTTGTGTCTGAAACAAATCAACATATATTTAGTACTAAGGGGTATTTGAAACTCATCTTTGGTACCATTTGAACTCCTATTCAACAAAATATCAACTCATTCATCAAACGGGTACAAACGAGAGAAAAAATCATATCTTAGTCATCGAGATAGAAAGTTGTCAAAATTTCAGTTATCAACAAGAAAATACCATATCTCAAATCAAAAAGAAATCACCAATTGAAAACCAAACGAGAAGAAAACCAATAAAACTCGTGAAAACCAGAACCGCCAATCCAATTCAGACTCGTCGGAAGAAGTAGGGAGACCAGAGAAGATAATTAATAGAATGCTAAAAAAATGCTTAAGAATCGAGTCGACTTCCAATTGTGGGTAAAAGTAGAAGAGGAACCTTGAAAGTGTAGCCGCAGAGCATGAGCTTTCTGACGAGAATGCGGCCAAAGTGGCTTGTGGGTTTGACGACGAGGACGGTAGTGTTCTGAGCACCAGGGACGCCGAACCCACACTTGGGGCCTTCTCGGGATGAGCAGCGCGTCCACAAAAAGAAGCGAACGGGACCCACAAAAAGAGTGGCTGGCTCGATTTAGCCGCTCTCATTTAGCCATCAAAGACTTTTTGAAACCCTTCCTCTAGCCAAACAATCACAACCATTAAGATTAGCTTTACATGATGTGGCTGCATCCCAACCAACCGTAAATGCACCATGCACACAAAAATAGCTATGTGCACTATAGCCAAATTCGCCCCTGACAGGCAGCAACTTTTTGCGCTGCTGCAGATTGCAATCATAAATTTGAACGATTTTTCTCCAAAGCTTCTTCGACCACCAAATTTGAACTATTTTGCCGCCGTGGAATTCAACGTGATCCTCATTCATTCCCATGAGCGACCAATCTCGTCCTTCGCCATTTCTATTATTTGCAAACTTACTAGCCTGCGCGTGTTTGGATTAGCGAGAGGGAGGTTCGAGGCAATTCAATCAGAAGATGGAAGAGTACTTGCAGTACGTGAAGGCTCTACGCTCTCAAATGAATGGTGCCTCTCTCTCTCTCTCTCTCTCTCTCTCTCTCTCTCTCTCTCTCTCTCTCTCCCGTCTATGAGTTATCAACAGAAACCTGAGAAATTCAACGTAAATTGTAATGATGAAATTGTAGATGTGGAAGATCAAGCAGCAAAGGCATCAATGGAAGAGCACGCTCTCGTTTTTACTATTGGAGTCGTGATCTCAACTCTGGTTTTTCCTTTGCTTCGAATTACTCTTGCCTATCTTTGAGTGTGAATTGCTTGTTTGTTCGACACTTGTTTTTCTCCTATCTGTTTGTCTTTATTTTTTTTAATCGGTGTTTCATTATCTTCGTCCAATTATTCCAACAATTCACATTATCTTGCACTTGGCCACTATTTATCTTGTTTTTTTTCCACTGAATCTAGGAGTTAGATAACTGGAAAATCTCAACTGAGGTCACTTGGTTAGTTTGTTGAATAGAAAGATTCAGGGAGAATTTTTTTTTTTACTTCTAACCAACCAATCTTATAATGTCCTTCAGAAGGTGGTTCTAGACAAGGAAGCATAGAAGGGGAAATGACATGTTCTAAGTTCACAAGGATGATACGGTTCCATCAAAATTTTAAAGCTTAATTTAAGATTCAGTAAAAGTGATGGATATTTGAGATTCTTCTTTGATTACTTGGAGAATGGGGTGTTCATATCTTTGAGAACTTCATCTGAACATGAATTATATTCGTTTACAATACATAAGCTAATCAAGTAAATTTTACACCTATTTGACTCCAATTGTAAGCTTTGAAATTATTGATAGTCTCTCACTTGTTTAGGCATCAGAAAGACACATGAGCCAATTCGTCCATCTCCCTTGCCCCAATAACAAAACAAGCATCTAGATGCAGGACCTGCATTCTTAATCTAACTGTATGAAAACTTTAATAAACTCAAGCTGAATGCTAAGTCGAACTATGAAAAACCTAATTACTTCTGGACTCCTACCTTCAACAGTGTATACTACATGCAACCGTCCTTTCTTCTACTGTTTCCTTATGCTTTTCTTTTCCCTCTGGAATAAAAATCTTAGCTTCTTCAGTGAATCTTGAAATAAATTGTTGTGGCAACATACCAACAAATAAGAAGAAAGTTCAAGTGGTAATAGCTCTTAAAAACATTGAATTTTGGCTTCCTAATGCATTCATTTTATACTCACCCTTCTCTGCTATTTTGCAGCAAAAGCTGAAAAACAACAACTCAATGAAGATTTAGAGAAGACTTCAAGGGTTGAAGCTCATATATGCTCACAGATACCGGAGAAACAAAAAAACGATTGCCTCTCTAGAATTGAACTCGGCAACACTTACCCAAGTACTTACAGAAGTATGTCAAGCAAAAGTGAAAAATAAAATAAAACAAAGGAAGCCTTAAATGAACAACATGGCAAACTGATCAAAATCTCTTGCATGCTTTTTGCGTGTACTGTTGCTTGTCAAGATCTCCCACCCCTATGACCAGTCTCATTATGTTTTACTCTTACTTTGTTGTTTATTGGTCTGCTACTCCTCAGACATTTTAATGAATCATAAATTCAGTACAATATCTCTATTGCAGATTCAATGCTTTCAGAAAAAGTTCCAATGAACATAGGTCTTGTTAGCTAATTACTATGTTTATTTTAAAATAGGTAATTACTATGCGTAATGGCCATCCTTCTAGCTGAACTGAATTTGCCTACTCTGGGCATTGGTTTATCTATGAAGAAAGCAGTGATAGCCTTCACGAGAGGTGCAAAAGATGCTTCCTTTAGTTCCATCTATCTGGCTGTCTTGCATGCCTACATGGGAGCTTATACAGCAAGAACGAGCTTGCCTGCCAAATTTGCAGGAATGAGGTACAGAAAGTATGAGTCACTATATTTTAGGCATTAATTTCTCTTGTGATAGTGGTTCTGAGTTGGACATGTGTATTGTAGCAGTACTTACTATTCCGGGGTTGCAGATGGTGTCAATTCAGAACTCAGGCAACAAGAGGTATAGCTGTTATTCTCTCTTGAGAACCTTTCTGATAAATTTGACATGCGACTATGCGAGGATTTGAATTTTGAACTGAGGCAGGACTAGTTCAATGTTCTCCGAACTGCGCAAGAAGATAGGAAGCATATGATTTAAGATCATTTCTAGATCTTCTTCTCCTTCTTCTTCCATAAGAACATAAAATACTATTACATTGTGGTGAGAGTTTGATGAATGGGATGGAAAGGGTTCAGGGTGTTGATGTTTAGAAGTCTAGAGTTGCCAATCTTTTGATTGTTCTCTTGTAACAGGATACCGATGATTAGGAGGAAGTTACAGTCAAGTTGGAGTTGGCAAAAGGCAAACTCAATGATATTACACAGATGAAATACAAACTTCTTATGGACAATGCTAAGGTGGACTATTTGAACAAATAGTATCTACTACCTAATACATTAATTTCATTTTTTGTACGACCTTTTTATCTATAAAAACCTTTGTTGTTGCCTTTCCTTTGTCAGATGGTTTCACATTGCCAATTTCAATATACCTGTATTTCATCGTGGAGTATGTAACATCAAAACAATAGTAGCTGACCTAAACAAATTATATCATGTTCTTGTTCAAATTCAGTTCTAAAATGTGAGTAGTTTGGCTGTGAAATATGAGTAGTCTTACCTTTTAACCTTGATTGACATAATTGACTTCTTTCTATTCTGATTGGAAGTAACTTTGGCTTGCTACATTTTGTGGTGAAGAAGTTTTAAAAACTGTAACCATTTGCTGTGGAATTTATGGCCCACACGGAAATTTCAGATTTTTTTTCCTCTTCAATTCAGATGATGGAATGTATTGAGCAAAAGATTTGTCAAGTGAATGAAAGTAAAATAAGGTATCAATGTAATTCTTTCTATACATAAAAGCCGGGTACGCTTTTTGCCCGTTACTGTATCACTTTCTGTCTTCTAGCGCATATCAAAGCCTTTGCAAGAAACCTTTTCCACCCCACTGGTTTCTCTCACTGGTTCTTCCCAAAATCCCGCTGACGACCATGCCTCTTACCCACCAGCCGCACGCTACTGCTGCGCTTACCCCTTATTGCAGCTGTCATACTATCCTTCCATCAATTCCCTGCAACACGCTGCCGCTGAGTATGTTATAGAGTGTTATAAGATCCAACATAACCTTCTCCCAACAACTCGAGTTATTGGGAGCAACTGGTTAATGACATGGTATCAGAGTCTGGTTAGGCTGAAGAGCCTAGTTCCTCTCTCAGTACGACATAGGTCGAGTATGGGCCGACACTATGCCCGAGAGACGGTCCTAGATGCGCATATCAGGCGGTCCGGGCGCAGATACACATGTGTTGCGCCGTTGTGGGGGACCTCGACAGGCTGAAGATGCAGCGGCCGAGAATGCCGTTCAACCGAGGAACTAACGCTAGCGAGAGCGTAGGGTGAAGGTCGATTGAGGTACAAACGCTGGAAGTAGCGTAGGGTGAAGGTCGACTGAGGTATTAGCGCAGCAGAAGCAAAGAGTGAAGGTTGATGTCGAGGGGCGAAGCGGTATGTGCGCGGGGCACAGCAGGCTAGCGCGAGGACGTGATCGGAGCTTGTCCATCATAGGATGGTATCGTATGCGGACGCCCACAATCGGTTCGAGTGTTGCAATACATGCTGCGGAGAGAAGCATTCTTCACCAGCACGAGGACGTGCTGCATTATGAGTGGTGGAGAATGTCACAACCCAAAATGTCGTGACCGTGTTGATCGTCTGAAGAACGCTGCCATCAGGTTGTCTTGCCATGAGAAGGGTAAAGGGGGCGACATTAGCAATAAGGCGTTGTCTGCCTGTGCATCGCATCTGACCGAGTCAGGATGTGGCTATGAAGGGGATCGTTGCAAGAGAAAGCACAACTGGTCGGAGGCTATTGTCGTCTCCCTGATGAGCCCAATGCAGGGCGAAACCAGGTGGCATGCGTATGCAGAGAGGCTGGTCTTGAAAAATGAGTGCACCTCAAGACGCCGCACGGACTTCGGAAGGCCTCTCAGTCTGCACTCAATCGGTACAGCTCTCAACCAATTGCTTGCTTTCCCTGCAACAGACCACAATCAAGCTCGCCAGAACAAGTAAATAGGATTCATGGCCAGTGCCGTGCACAAGCAATAATAGCGACCCAAAAATCCGAAAGGGGAAAGAAAGCGCAAAAGGATGGCAAGGCGTGGAAGCGGCAGTAATTACACTAAACTTGGGGCCAGCTTTCTGTAGTCCTTAATTATCATAAATGGTCACAAACCTATTCACTTTGTACAAAACGGTCACAATTCTTTAATTTTGCACGTTTTGGCAAAACAAATTTGAGTGAATAACAAATTGGTCAATCCATCCACTTCCGTTCAAAACTATGGGGTCGTTTGCTTCAAGGATTTGGTACCAAAAAACCAACTATCAAGGATTTAGGTACAATCCCTTGTTTGCTTGCACCTTTTTTGGAGATCAAATCTGTGGGGCCCACGGATTTTAAGGGTCCAAATCCATGGACCCCACGGACTTATAAATCCCACATGTTGATGTGGGATTTGGAATATGGCATAAATCCTTGATGAGATTTTACCCATATACCCTCATGCACTTTTAATATTCCAAGGTTGCCCTCAAATTTAACTATTATACATTATAATTAACAATAAATGAATAATATAAACGTTCAATTAATGTGCAAACATGAGTTAGATTTTTTATATCATTTCTTGTGTTCTAGTTTTCTTTGACATTTTCATGAAACGTGTAATTCTTTGTTCTCCCGATTCTAATATATGTTGTTATATGTTACTTTTGAAAAGGAGGACAAATAATTGGTAATTGATTATGTTACGTTAAAAGTTAAAACTGAATTTTCTCGTTTATTATTATTGTCCATGTGGCAACATTATGCTTATTAGTATGTATTGTCCTTGTTTTGTGTACATATCATAAACATGTCAAACATATAGAAAATGATAGTAAGGTAATTTTGAAGTTTTGTCCTTGTTTTGTGTACATATCATAAACATGTCAAACATATAGAAAAGGGCAGTAATGTAATTTTTGACTTCAAGTAGTTTATCCCACACCTTTAAATCCATGATAAAAACATCCCAACAAACAAAGGATTGTTACAAATCCATGATGCCTCAAATCCTTGATAAATCCTTGGGTTTTTAAATTACAAAACCATCATTTTTAAATCCATGAAACAAATGACCCCTATGTTACTTCTTACCCAACCAGCATGACATATCATTAAAAATAGGGTTAATACCTTAGTTTGGCCTGAACTATACACATACTTTCTACTTTGGCCCGTGGTATTGAAAATTGCTATTCTGGCATGAACTATGTAGCAAACTTCCTCATTTGGCCCGGAGGCGGGTTTGACCGTCAAATTAGACTGTCAAACCTGTTGACCGTTAGTCAATGTCCACATCACCTGCCACGTCAGCTTTGAGGACATAAAAAATTATTATTTTTTATTTCTGAATTTTATTTTCTTTCGATTAATAAAAATAATAAATCAAAAAAATTAATTAAAAGAACGAAAAATGGCCCATTTTTAGCAAATGACAAGAAAACAAAACTCAGAAATAAAAGAAATATAATTTTTATGTCCTCAAAGCTGACGTGGCAGGTGAGGTGGACATTGACTAACAGTCAACAAGTTTGACCGTCTAATTTAACGGTCAAACCCGCTTTCAGGCCAAATGAGGAAGTTTGCTACATAGTTCAGACTATAATAGCAATTTCCAATACCACGGGCCAAAGTAGAAAGTATTGTATAGTTCGGGCCAAACTAAGGTATTAACCCTTAAAAATATTAATAAAAAATTATTTAATCATTCCAATTAACCCGCACAACCCAACCGGTTTAGTAGCTCTGTAGCACCGTGCCGTACCCTAATACCCACCGCTTCCCGACTTCGAGAATGTCGGAGACAACAGAAAGGTCGGGCGGAGCGGGAGAGCGGAGCGACCACATTCTCCTCTTCGCCGGCGACCAGTCCCTCCAGAGACCCTCCGAGATGGGTATCTCCACCGCTGGCGAATACACAAATCCCCGGTACGGCAAGAATCGGACTGCTGGTGATAGGTTTTAACCTAGTTTTTTTCTTATCCGATTCTGGGATGCGGACGGGAGAAGGAAAAAAGGGAAGGAGTCCCCGCCGACTTTGGGCTTCGCCGGCGATAAAAGTGACGCCACCTACTAGGATTTAGTGGTAAACTATGTTTTTTGGGGTCATTCATTAATCTTTTGGTTTGGGGAATTTTGGGAGTTCTATCTTTTAACCCATTTTTGTTTGTGCTTTTTGTTTTATTAATCAACGAGGCAAAAAGAGATGGTCTCTAATGGCTATTGGCTCCGGGCTCACCGACGACTGAGAAAGCACAGACTGGTCCGAGCACAACTTCGGTAAGATTCTGCCCTTATATCTCCATTAGATTGATGATGATGATAGTTGAGTAACTCTAGTTACCAGCGATTTTGCCTGTACTGGGAGTTCTGTGTATTGACCAGCGGCGGAGACACCTGTCTCGAAGGGTCTCTGGAGGGACTGGTCACCGGCGATGAGGAGTATGTGGCCGGCCCGCGCAAGGAGGGGCTACCTGATTCCATGCAGGTGCAAGAAGCATCGGCAAGGAGGGGCTACCTGATTCCATGCAGGTGCAGTCACTCGAATAAACAGTTCAAACTTTGGCACTGCCATCAATGCATTGTTTGACCTGTTATCTTTTTGTCATTTGTGAAGAAATTCTGTCACCGAACACAAGATCCTTCACCCATAGAAAGCATTACAAGTTCTAAGAATCATACATTATGCCTTTTGCGTACTTGAATATAAATCGGTTATACTAGAGCCATGCGTTGTTGACTAGGGATTGTGTGTGTATACCCTCTGTGTTTGCTTAACTTACACCTTGGCATGTTGAATTTCATTTCTGTACAATTTTTGTCTTACAAGTTGTTGTCGCTTTTTGTTTCTGTTTTTGGAAACACTTCCGCAATTCAATGCGTTGTTATTAAGAGGATGATGTTGTTGTGTAGGAAAGTATATCCTCTTTTGGAACATTAATCAAGATTTTGTACACTACTTGATATCTTGAAATTCTGTGGGTTGTTTGTGTGATTCAAATGAAAGGTGCAGTGAAGCTTTGGAAAGTTTAGTTAATATGTTGGAAGAGGATTTTGTGGCTGATAATGTGACAATAGTCGGTTCTCTTTCTTCTGTATCAGGTTGTGTTTGAGTAAAGGTGATGTTATGCGGTGTTTCTTGATGACTGGTGAGTGAGTTTCGTGTGGGTACGTAGATGAGTAGTTAGTTGGTATGTTGTCTGTTGATTTTTTTATACTTTTTACAATTTGAGGTTAGTGCCAGAACTGGATACAAGTCAATTCCTCATGCAGAAGATCCTGGCAGAGGCTTTCAGGTTCTGGACACAACCTCTTTGTGGCAGTATGATGGTTGGATTTCTTTCTGATCCGGACCTGTACACATTTGAGTCTTACATTACATGCAATGTCTGAACTCTGAAGTAGCCTTCTTACTAACAGTGTTACAGCTTTCATGTCATACTATTTCAACAGTTAAAGTAGAAGCACAGGTTCAGACATTCATTTCTCTACCGTTGGAGAGAGGAAAGAGAGCTTTAAATTTTCCAGTCGTAATTGGTAGGTTTCCTTTTTACTAGACCAGACAGTGGTTTCTTGCTAGCTTCGAAGTTCTGATACTTCTCCCATCACTGATTCTGCTGCTGATTCTGTTTTTTCCCCCCAGAATGAATGAAATGCAAAAGAAAAAGAAGCAGAAGGAAAGATGAATAGTTTTGGCGGTCTGGGCTAAGGAACTGGAGGTTGGGATGGGGTTTTGATGTGGGTATATTTTCTATTACAGAATGTATGCATGCTTTGAAAGATAAAGTGCTAGCTGATGGACTACCTGAAATTTATAGAATGGCCCACAATTTCTCCATTAGCCAACCTATCTTTCATGTGGAATATTGGTTGATCATTGTGTGTATTGCTTTGCCCCCGTCCCCAGTAGCAAGGTATCTCTTGGGTATAGTTTCAGTATAGACTTTCAAAAGTAGTTAAGGAGGAGTTACATGCAGTTTTAGTCAACTCTGTAGAACGTATGTTTAGCAGAGAATCGTTATGATTGTAAGTTGTCTGGTATAACAAGGAATCAAGGATGTCTAAGTTTTTAAACAAAAAATATGGTAGTGGATTTCTACATATTATTTCTAACTAATTTCGTTAATGTCATATTGCTTTTAAATGTACTAAACACAACTAAATCTCTCGCGGCGTAGCCATGGGTATTGATACTAGTATATTTTAATGTGGGCACACTAATTAACTGGGGTCACATGATTGTATCTATAATCAGCCTAGTCAGTTGCAATATTTCCCGGGTGTCTTTCATCTGCCAATCACTAACTTTTACTACTGAGGTAATACCAGTTTATCAAACTGTCCAATGCAGTTCTCTTTTCTTGTGCCGAGATCGGGACATGGACTGAACAACATAAGATTAGTTCATTATCTGCATTGGGTGTAGTCAATTAGCATCATGCCATTTATGCTTCTTTTTTTTATACTTTGGTAGCATCTTTTATGCAATTATGCTTCTCTGGTAGCCTATCCTTATATTCTGAGGAACTGTAGCTTGAGCTATTGAAAATGGATGCGAAAAGCCTTGGTGAGGAATACGAGTCCTTTTTGTCTGATAAAGCTGGGGAGTTGGAGTATTTGCAGTCACTGGAACAGCAGATTAAGAAACTTGAGGTAAATGCTACTGCAAGCTTCTATGCTGTTCTCTTGAACTACCACCATTTTCCTGGGATCACTGATTTATGTAATGAATGACACTTAAACAGAGTACAAATGTAGGTGTTTTCTTTATCGTAACAGGGTTAACTCCCCTTGCGTGCAACTAGCAGTATCCCTCAGCAACCATTTTATACCAATTACCTATCAGTACATGCTCCGAGTGTATTTTTTCCCATAAAGCTTCACTGCCAACTACCAGCAGTATCAAGAAGAATAATATCTTCTTCCTGTTAATGGTTGTTCTTCTCCTTGCAGGATGTTACTCACACAGTCAATTGTATCTGTGGTTCAGAGTACAGAGTAGCAATGGGCCTTTGTGCATGACATAGGCGAACAAAGAAAACAATGGTAAGTGGGAATAATCCCGGACTTTAATTTCTTGAAATTAGTGATAATACTATATCTTGGTCATCATTTTTGCTTAATACCAAAACATTACTTCTCATAAAGTGCGTACAGAGCCACAACCTACTCAATCACATTAGGTATTCTACATGTCACCTATATGACCTTACGAAGATTATGGCATCCATTTTGATATGAAGATGAAATTTTTGTACGTGATTCCACTTGTTATTTAAACATTGAAATCAAATCAAATAGCCAGTGTGTATCCATGTGATTTCTGAGAAATTTGGTTTCTATTATGCAATGACACATGACATTTACTTGTTCTTGGTATCGCCTTTGAAGTATATGTAAAATTATTTTACTCCAAGCCCATCTAGTGCAGCCAATATATGTTGAGCTTCGTAACTCTCTTCTAGGAAGTGGATATTGGGGCTTTCAAAAGGCACTAAGTCTTCTCTTTTGAGATTGTCTTCTTCGCGAAGTAGCTGCTCGCTGCCATGCTCTACTACACCTCTTATTATAAGGGTCTTGTGAAGGCCACCTAGTAGTTGTTCATAATCTGTATCTCCTTGTTCCCCCACAATGACCACTAGTTTAGAGATATCAATTCCCCACCTGACTGAAAGATACCTGTGAACGTAGCATCTATTGAGAAATCAAATCTATACATGTGAGTATTTGACTAGGGACATTACATTTATCATTTAAAGAAGTCGGACTTACCTCATAGCTTGCATTCTTGATGCAAATAGTGGGACTACATTTAACCTTGAAGCTGCGCGTGTATAGACAAGGTTGCATCGGAAGCCTCTCATTCGGAGCTTTTGCCGAAGGGTGTCAACCTTTCTAATCTGTAATCCAAAGATTAGAATCTTCATTAGGTGATGTTGAAGCAATTAACCTTGAATATGTTACTTTGCTATAGTCAATGTGTTACCTTAATTCCTGGTTTTATGCTATAAGAGTAGCATTTGGAACCACTTGCTTTTCCAAACTCCACGATGTCATCATTAGATTCATCATCAATCCTAGCTAGTTTAAGCACCATTGACCTAATATTCTCACCAGGCCACCTGTATTCAACATGTGCTTCATAGTCCATATCAGCCACCATATCCTTCCATGGGTAGTACATTTCACTTCCACTGTTGCATATTATAGCATCAAAGTCTTCTGCGTTTACTGGACCTAATCTTAACGCTTCCATTGTCTCTGATAAACTTGAGCCAGTCAGCAATACAAACCCAGCCTTGCCCAAGCCTAGACTCAGGCCTGCAGCATGTAGCACATTCTTGATGATGTCTTGAATATGGCCTGTGCTTTCTCCGTTAGAATTATAGCAGTCAGCGGCTATCACAAACAACATCTGTCTTCTACCAGGACTGTAGTTAATGCTTGGACTGCCACTTGGTGAAGACATAAGGGTGATTGTTTCTATGAGCTTCTTCTGCCTAGTTGCTGCATCTAGCTCACAGCCAGGCTTGAAATCTCCCTCTATCGAGAATCTCAAAGATAGGTCTTCGACTTCTTTTAGAGATTCGCTCATTGGTTCTTCATGGATAGATGGTATCCCAAGACGGGTCATTGGGTGGCGATTCCTGCAGTGATCTACCTGGCTAAGGTAGTTACGGCAATGTTCTGGCCATGCAAAATGATGGATGTTTTTTAGACCGTTTTTTCGGCATTCATTCCAGAGGTTTTTGTCAGCAAGCAGCTTTAGCAGTGCATCTGTGATGGCTTTCTGATCATGAGGATCAACTAGGAGGCCATTGTTAAGAGCCTGCATAAGAGTCTCTTTGTTAGTTGCTTGAAGAGAAAATAAGTTGATAAACTATTGGATTTTAGATGCTAGCTTAAGTGCATAGATAAATAAAATATAAATTGCATGTAAGTTTGAATTGGATCTTTCTTTGCATGATCTAGAAAGAAAAGGGGGTATGAAGCTTTGGTTGCTACCTTGCTGATTGTTTTCCCTGTGCTAAACTTCCATGAAGTAGATTCTATGAAACTATATTGGAATTAGTGTCACTTGAATACATGTACATATTTATTTATTTGTTTGGTAACGCGTCACTTGAAATTTCGAGGTTCCATAGAGCAGCAGATGTTCTTGATTAAGGTAGTTGTTCAGGGCTTCAGGCAATCATGGTGGAGTTTTCGCGATTAGGAGCTAAATGCTATTTGCTTGTTTGGGTTGGAAGGAAAAGTAGGAAGAGCTTTTTAAATTTGGAAAAGGAAAAGATAGAGTTATGTGTCTTTCTAGTTTTATATAAAAATTGTAGCTTACAATTGAACTAGCCTCCCCCGGCGAAAAAATCTGCCAAATAACGATAGACAAGTGTAGATGTTACCTTCAAAATATCCACTGGTCCTCCATTTTTTGTAGCGACACTTGGTAACCCATATGCAGCTGCCTGGATTTGGGGATATAAAATGAGATTTAAGTGGGTTCCTCCACTATAGGGGTGTTCAAAATATGAAGATAATGAGCTGGTTGAAACTAAGAGGTACCTCGATGAGTGTGAGGCCAAATGGTTCCACAAGAGCTGGATTGATGAAAACTCCCTTCAATATAGACAAATCCGTCACAGAAGGATTACTATTAGCAGTTTGAACATAGAAAGGAGAAATAATGGTTAAGGGTACATTTTTTGAGCGGTCCCATGTAGATATGACTTATGATGTGACATGACAGTGTAGAAAATGAAGTATACAGAGGCCCCTGCCTCATTTTGTCATGGTAGGTTCGATTGTAAAACTTTAGTAGACAACCCCATGAATAGAAGCAGGGACCTGAGCACAGGTTGATTGTGCATAAGTGTTGTACACTTGTACCTTTGTCTTTGCAGCCAGGCGATAGATATCAGGAACTTCAGATTGTTTGTGATGCTTGGGATAGGCTACTTGACCATATAAGTCATACTTGTCAATGAGCTTGAGTACATTTGTAAGAACGACTGAGGGGCTAGTGGACATTTCCTCGATGTCATCTCTATTGCCAAGTATTAGTATCTGCATATGAAAAATGGTAGGATTAGTGTTTACTGGCTTGGTGATATTTGAACTCTGAATACAAGGTTGAGCTGAAACATAAGATTACCATGTTTGCTAATTCTCTCAGAGGTTGGCATTCCCCGAAGGCTTTGAGCAAGGTGGTCACGTTCTTCTTTGGGTCGGGACGGGATAGTGCCAATATAGCTGGCTTGTGAGGGTTTGTGAAAAATCTCATTATCTGCATTACATTCATACAGGAGTAGTTTGTGAGGATAGCATAAACTTCTTTGTTTCATATATGGAAGACAAGTTATTTGTCATGAAAATGTTTTAACTCCAGTGCATGTGCTGTTTGTACCCTTTTGAAAAAGAAACTAGTGCTCCACTCCTAACCCCTCATAGTTAGTGAAACTGCTGTCAAATTAGATTGTTGAAACTAACGTGGGGAGAGTATTTTACCTCGGACCAGATTGGAGGAAGTTGCACCTTCTTAGGAGTTCTGTCAGACCCAATCAATGTTTTCAGATCATCTTCTGATGAATCTTGAGCAGTAACATAGCTGAAATCCATTCCTGGGGGAATAACCTGAAACCATACAGTGATTAGAGTTGGAGCTTCAACTATCAAGGTACAGAGTTAGATTTAAGACTATTTCTAGGTCGTGATACTATAGTTATTACATAGTCACAAGAGGTAAGTCTCACTTGGTTGTGTTCCCATGGCACAGTGCCTAGGTACCTAGAAGAGGTTTATTTGCCACATAGAATGGGGTGTGGGAAAAAGAGAATACATATAAAGCAATTGAAGATTATGCATACCACTGTTCTTGGCATGTATCTTCCCATGCAACTGACTCCACGTCGTCTTCTAACTCTAAGTTTCCTCTCCAATTTGACATCGAAGCCATCATATAGACCCCATTGCTCTTCAATCTCTTGCCTTGTGCTTGTTACCACCATCTGAGCTGCATCCAACCCCAATTCTTCAGCCTCAATTCTCCTTAAAATCTTGTACGTTGAGTTTATGTCTTCCCTAGAAAGCCTCCCTTGCTTCAGCAGTTGCTCAAACTTATTTCTTCCCAGAGAGTGCCCAGTTAGCACCATTGGTACATCTAGAGCTCCAGATAGCTGAGCAGCGACTTCTCCCGCATCAGCATAGTGACCATGAATGACATAGGGCCAAGTTGGCTTCCCCCCATTGACTTGTTCGCCCAAGGCTCTTGCCATGTTAACTATATGGTTCAGTGCACCGTCAACAAACTCAGGTACATAAGGCCATAGTGACTCTTTTGGTATGTATCTGTGGAATAGAATGCACAATTTTACAACGCTTACATATAGCTCCTAGGGTTTTGACATAGGAATTGGATGAAAAACATTACTTGTCAGGAGGACCACAAGGAATACGGATTACGTAGGCTCCGCAACTACCACTGCCATCTTGCGGATATGATAGCATCTCAATTGGTTCACCATAGTTGGAATCTACCTCAGGTGAAGTGATCTGTCTGGTTAAGAGATCGACACGGTAGACTCCTTTTGTATTGGCTAGAGCTCGAGCAAGTTCAACTACATATTTTACCTGTAATTGCACCCAAAAAAAATGTGAAGTCAGTCATGGATATGTGGCAATTGACAGCTTCATCTATCAGCAGCATCTATTGCTTCATCAGTTCAAGTGTGAAACACACAAGGGCAACTAGCTCGCTATGAATTTTAGCCCTACCTGGCCGCCAGTATCTGAATCTCTTCCGAGTTCCATGTTGTCTCCACGTACCAAACCATGCATGCTACAAGCACAGTAAGTACACAGAGTGATTGCATGTGGCATTAGCCATATACTCTGCTTATTTTTCTGAAATTGGTTGGTCGGTTGCCTTTTAGTAACTGTTGCATTAGCTTCTGCCTTCTATCTACATACATGCTGTCTTAAATCTGGTATAGTCGCCCCTGAGATGTAAATGAGAGAGGCTGGGTACCTGATTAGCACGATATAGAGGCGCCTAGGCTTTTCTTCATCGGACCACATCTGCATGTCAGAGTTAATTCTGCTAATATGTTTTGCAGATTCAGAAGGGGTGGCATCTCCAGGTTCCTTCTCTCCTTCAGAAAGCTCGGAAAGATCATCTGCTGCATCATTACGCCCTTGCTCACGCTCTGCTCGTCTCCTTGCAAGTCTTTGTGCATCATCCCATGCTATCTGCATATTATTCACATTTCCTTTTGAGTCCGTAATTCATAGCTAGGTAAGGGCCTTTCTCTCCCTCTCTCTCTCTCGTGACGAATGGTAAACTGTAAATCCTAGTCTTGCCGTTACTTCAATGATACATCATCATACAGTAGACGTTTAGGTATCTCTTAAACCCATTCATACAGGTTAGTTACTTAGATAACAAACCTACTCGCTTGAACATTGGGTTGCATTTTGCATCAATCATGTCTATGTAGAACTCTCAGTTTCCCTATGTATGGATAGTGGGAGCGCAGTCATCTCATGGGAATATGATACAGTGTAAGACAGGGAGGGAAGAATGGGAAGTAGACCTGTTTCTTCTTCCGGGCGAGATGCCAAATGCGCCAGCAAAGGTTTTCAAGCCTGTTACTACGTTCACGAGTATTCCTTGTTGCTATCACCTGCCCACCACACCACAAAAGCAAAAACCACACATAGATCACATGTCATTCATCACCATGCCAACTCTTCCTGGCGGTCGGGGTGTCTCTTATCTTATTGCATACTAGGTGAAAGATGTTTGAAGTATTGTTTTCTAGGAGAGCACATTGATTGTATGATTGATTCTTGGTCTAGTAGCTTCTGCAAAATGTGTCACTAGTGGCGGTGTTTCAAGTATTATAAAATTTTCATGTGAAATATAATTTTTTGATATTTTTATGAAACGAAAACACATTTGATTTTCATTCATATAAGGCTGTCCCCTGTATTTTTTTTTTTTTGTACAAAGAATACACCAAGTCTCAAAATAAGAGTCTGATCGTCAATTTTTAAATTCAAATCGTCGATTAATATGTTGACATTGTCTAAAATCCTACTTTAATTTTAACTGATATAAAAGTGCTTTTCGACTTCAAAACCTGAAGTAGGACCAAACACATCTAAAAACTCCGCTTTTGAAAAGCTGAAAAGCGCTTTTGTATAAAATAAAAGTATAAGCTCCGATTTTGAGCTTCTGTGAAAAGCTGTTTTATCCTTAACATATTTGAATTTTATTTCATTTATATCATTTAATTTTTTTATAAAATCATATTATCTAACAAGACCCAATTTGACTACTTTTTATTATTTGGAATTTATACACAACGTCTCATATTAAAAATCACTTCTAAGTTCTAATAGTTTTTCAGCCAAACACTCAACTATTTTTTTTAAAGTACTTCTCTAAAAAATTCCGCCATAAGCTACTTCTGTAAAAGTTACAGCAGGGCCAAACGAGTCCTACATTTCGGTTTTATATAACCTATACTTGCCAAACAAGGGATAAGGATTAGCTTGATAACCAAGCTAAAGGGATGATGGACAAATCGGGAGAAATTTTGAATATTTTCCAAACTCACCTTCAACTTAGGACTTGGAAACGATGCAGTCTGGTCCATACTAGACCATATATACAGTCTAGATCGAGAGGTTGGAGTATAGAACACATATCAGATTACAGAATATATGGTCCAGACCACACCTATGTGGTCTGGTCTGGTTCAGATAGATCATACTTAACCAAAAATTAACAATTTGATTAGTCAACCACACAAAAAAAATTGAACCAATAGCCTAGATAAAAATTATTTTTTCCTTCAAACATATATACTAATATGCATGAATAATTTTGATACTATAAATCTAAGTAAATAATAAAGATACAAAGTAAAAGCATCCCAACTTGTACCATAACGTCATCAACATTTACATAATGTCATATAGAGACACGATCGTGGTTGTGAATGAAGGAGGGGGACAAGATTCTGAAAATTAATATTGAGACTTGGGTATCCTTGTGGGAGTTGGGAGAGTGGTCGAGTGAGCTGCTAGCACGTATTGAGAAGTCGGCACGGTCCACGGTTTGGTCCGGTAAACTGCGGTTTAGACCAGACCAAAAAAATCAAAATATTATATAATACAGACCATGAACCAGATCAGACCATACTTAACGGTTTATCGTCTGGACCAAACTGTACGATCCAATCTGTACCATGATTTTTCAAACGGTCTGATCTATTTTCCCAGCCCTACTTCAACCTATTCCTCATAAATACATACATGTTTGTTGGTAGGTAGTGGACGTTTTCATAATTATTTATAAAAAATGTAACCTCTAGAATTGATAAAAATTGGAAACTATAATTTGACTAAGCTTAGTGAACTCATGGATTCACCTTCAGTGTATTTTTATTTTTATTTAATTTGTTTAATATGTTTTCCTTTTCATTCAAGAAAAAGTAACTACTTATAATTTATAATTTACAGGGCAATGTCTACATTTTATCCAAATATTTGTAAAATTCTTTTATATTATCCAAACCTATTAAAATGCTACTAATTATGTTTTTAATAATTTTGTAACTTTTATCTTATTTAAAATACTAAAAATTTGGAATGTTAACCGTCATGTGTCTCTTCCAAGTCAGTATCATGTTGTCAAGTCAATATTTCTAACAAAGTTGCTGACTGGAAGTTAATATTTGACTAATTCATAGTATTTCGATAGGTTTAGCTACCCTAATTTATATTTTGTAGTAAACATTATACCTTTGCTTTGGTAAAAATCGTTTCAAAATACAATATTTTGAGTTAAAATCCTATAAGACCGAGTGATAGAATTGAAGAATTTGCATTTCTTGGCAAATTGGATCCATGAAGAGGTAAGCACAGTATTTTGCGAATACTGACGTTGTTGTCAAATGAAACTAATTAATAGTCATGACTCCCAAAAAAAAAAAAATATATATATATAGTATACTGCCTGTCTGCATGATTTGGCTTTAGAAAATTTAGAGGGAGGAGGAAAGCTGTAGATAATAAGAGCAGCTAAGCAAGCTAGTAAATGACCCTAGAAAAAATAATGGCAACTCACGGGGTTCTCGATCGACTGAACTTTGGTCAAGAGAACTAAAGCAAATCAATACTTTCCGGCCAGACTCTGGTGAGTCGCCGGAGTGGCTCCGTTTCCTTCACTTTCCGTTGATGGAGTTGAGAGATATAATTAGGTGGGGGAGTATTATATGTAGCTAGCTAATTATATATGCATGACAGAGGGAAAAAGAATTGATCAAGGAGAGAAGTGCAGGAAGAAATGAAAGAGGGAGAAAGAAACCTTGACCCAAGTCCTGTGAAGGTCGGATTCATCGAAGCTATTAACAACCTCTTCAACGAAGTAGCTTGTAGCGCTAAACAACTTATTGGTGGTGGAGGTACTACTGTAACTCTGTGCTTCTGCTTCTGCTTGTGCTCGTTTGAACTCCTTTTGATCATCATCACAATCATCAACGCCGTGAGCTTTCATCTCTTTCTCATCATGAAACTTGGAGAGCTTCATCAGTCTGCTGTTGCCCCCAGGATGATCATTATTTGTTTTCCTCATCGTAGCAGCGTCACCTCCGGCATCCAGTATTGCCTCCAAGTACCCATTTATCCACTCATTCCTTGCACCTGCCATTCTGATTCTAGGCTACCTCGGATCTGTAGCTTGCTAGCTTAATGAATCCCTCCCCTGCCAGAGAAGGAGAAGGAGCTAGCTATATATATATATAGGGAAACTGTGGAAGGAAGGAAGGAAGGGTTTGTTATGGTTTGGCAGGAAGCTTGCTTTTGCCTAGCTTGTGTCTGAAACTCAGAGTTAGGTTGGAGGTGAACAATTTGCAACGCAGCTTATAAGTGGTGCCAGCTTTGATTCCTCTTTGGAATGATATATATATGCTCTTTTGTTCTTTTGGTTGGTTAATTTTTATGCTGGTTTTCTTTCAGCGGTTCTTTCTTATGCTATGCTGCTTGGCTTTTGTTTGTTTTCATTTTCTATAACAGCAAACAAACAAGGCAGACTGTAGTCACGCTGAAGTGGAAGGAAGAAAGGTGGGGAATAATATGTGAAAATCTTTTCTCCTCAAGATAAAAAGGACCCCCTCCCTCCCAGTCCACCACCCGTGTAGTTGTTTAGTGTGTGGAACTTCACTTTCATTCCCCAATAGGAAGTGATATTCATATTCGAGATTACTAAGGCATATATCTCACATGCTGCTGCATGGCCAAGAATATATAATCACTTTCTAGTTTCTGCTCCAAAGCGCTATATATGCGTCTCTCTTTTGAGTGAAGATTTAGCTAGCGTTTGGCTCTTATTCTCTGCTCAACCCCATCACTGGTGTGGTATATGTGCACTCTATAGTATATACTATATACCAATTTACTAACCGATTGATAGCCACAGAATTAAAGCAAGGCCACTAGCTCACTACCTTGACGAGAGAAAAACAGAAGCAAAGATAGTGATATATGGACTGATGTTAAACAATATAAAACAACTGCAGCAAACATATCAATATGAGAAAGATTGGCCATGCATACTCGCTTGGCTGAGGATTTTCACTTACTTATCTTTGCTACTTTATTTGTTTCGTGGGCTGTTTCTACAAACTCTTGCCGCCACAAAAATCTTTGTCAACATGAAATCCAATCCGTATTGCTTTATAGGGTGTTGGCATTTTGGTGCGAATGAAAACAACGGGGCCGTTTGGATGGAACATTTCTACAACGAGAGAATTTGGCATAAATTTCTCATTTTAGAAAATGAGACGATTGTGTCCAGAATGATTTTATTTTACTTAATATAGACAATTGTAATGTAGTATTTTCGTAATACACTTCTGCCCTCTTTCTTTTACCCTCTATCTCCATCCTCTTCTCTTATTGTCTTTGTAACAAAGCCCATAAAATTAACAGACCAACAATGATAAACACTCTTGAAAATCACAGATTTAGAGAGAAAAAAGCAAGAAGATCAATCCAGCAGAAACTCAATCGCCAGATCAACAATTTCCTAAACTCGTTCGGAACAGGTTGCACTTTGTCGGCGTCGACCGCCACCATCTCCATCGCCGTTTTGTATCCCTTATCTTCTTCTTTCGTTTGACAAATCCAGACTACTATCATCTTCCACTTTTCTTCTGCTTCTGGTGTCGACTGCCACCATCTTTGATTATCACCATCTTTGATTATCACCATCTTCGTCCTCAGTTTTGTCTTCTTTTTCTCATCGACGCCTTTATTCTTGTGAAGTTAAGAAATAAGTTACATGTAGTTGAAGAATTAGTAATGGATTTCTAGAATTGAATTTAATTTTCATGAAGTAAGAAGAAGAAAATATGTCCAGCTTTGTCGCGAGAGTCTGGTAGATCATGGTGGTCGCGAGATCTAGAAGATCTTAGCCACGAAATTAGATCATGAGGAGTGGGCATTGTCACGTGGATTTTGGTAGATCGCGTTGGTCGCGAGATCTAGACCACGTTCGTCGCGAGTCTGCTTGACCACGTTTGTTGTGAGTTTGGTAGACAACGTTTGCCACGATTCTGCCATACCATGTTGGTCACGAGATCTAGATGACCTTCGTTGTGAGATCTAGACCACATCCGAGATCTAACAACGACTAGGACGTGAGAAGGAAAGCTACGTGGGGAGAGGGAAGTCACATAATATACTAAGTTTGAGAGCTCAAGCACGTTGGTCACGAGGGAGTTAAGTCTCGCGTTGGTTGTGAGATCTAGACATCACTCATCTCAAATGAGTTAGACCTCGGTGGTCGCAAGATTTAGATCTAGTGCATCAGTCGCGAGTGGGCATTGTCACATGCAGTTTGGTAGACCTCATTGGTCGCGAGATCTAGATTTCCTCAGTCATGATATCTAACATTCCTGGTCATGGTGCAGAGGAGGCAAACACCAAAACGACAGCTCCAAGAGAGGCAGCTATATAGGCGGTTGAAAGAGCAACCACCACTCCAGAGAAGAGGGAGCGGTTCTTTGTAGCAGTTATCAAGAAGAAAGTTCTCCATAGGGGTGGCTATTATTGGTCCGAGTTTCTTGATTTTACCCGAAACAGGACCGTATAACCCGGACTAAGACTGAACCGGGACCGGATAGCAAATAATCCAATCTCGTCTTTGGGCTTAGATTTGAGGTAAAACCCCGTTCGTGACCAGACCAGAAACCGGATAAAGACCCGATAAGAGAGCCCAACACCCAAAACCTAACCAACTCCTCACCCTTTCATGCCTTAGCCCACTTAAACTCTCGGAAGCTCAATCTAAAATCAAGACTGGATTGGGACCGGACTATATCAAATCTCGTCTTTGGTCCTCATATTCCAAAAAAGACCCGACTGGGACCAGATCAATCCGGGCCAGTTTATCCGGACCGTATAGCCACCTCTAGTTCTCCAATGCAGTTACCAACACATGCCTATAAATAGGATAGGAGGTCGTGAGAGACAGAAGTTCTCAAAACCAACACTCTAACACACGTGTCAAGTTTATCATTTTCCTTTTCTCTATTATGTAGCCATAAACGTAGTTCGTAGTTTGGAGCTCTCGTTGAACCTCCATAGGAGTATGAGTAATTTAACTTAAAATTTGTATTATCTCCTTTCACCATCAATCAAACACCCCTGTTCGAACTTTGTTTGAAGATATGTGAGTCGTGTCTTAGTAATCGTTGTCTGAAGAAGTTAAAGGTGCATTGATCTCAATTCAATGCAAGTTTTCTTGCCGGAAAATGCAATGTAAACTTTTTTAGTTTCGAGTTAAAATGAATGATATATGATCACATAATGGAAAATAGAGGATTAAAAAAGCAAACTTTGAGTGGTTTAAAAGCTCATCTCAGTTCTCTTGATTCCATGTCAACAATAAAATTTGATGATTTAATTCGGTTCGACAACCATGAGTTTCTCTTTAAAAAAGGCAAAATACACTTGTAGAGCCATAACATTCGCGTTTGTGACAATAATAGTCAATTTAGGAGAAATACCACTTATAACCAGAATTTTGAAAGTTTCATGACAAATACAACCATTTTCGTTTCAACCTTTAACAGCATCAGTGACACTATTAGTTATTTTAACGATATGCTTATTGGGCTGCCAACTCACCGGACACGCCATCGACAATGGAGCTTCCAATGGCAGGTGGATGATACATCATTTTTAACTAAAATAAATTTTTAAACAAAAATAGAATATGTCTTCCTCACAAACTCTCCATTGTGTAAAACAAAAGAAGACCCCCAATTCCATCGGCAACCTCCGCTATCCCCAATTCAATCGGTAACCTTCGCGCGTTGGCCGACTTTTGCTGGTGGTAGAGTTTCAGAGTAGATTTAGAGGCTGGTGGAGTTTCTCTTTCTTCCACCTCAGATTCATTGAGTTGCAAAGCCAGATCTGGCCAAAAGTTGTGAAGAATACTACAACGAAGTGCTGAGCTCGAGGCTCGCTCGGATGAAGGATTGCGACGAGCTTATTGCCTTCTGACAAATTACGTCAAGGTTGGGCAGGAGCATAAGCTTGCTCCTGGTTCATAAGCAATTTTACCCCAGATTCGGATTTGGAAATAATCCCCAAATTCAAGAACCCTAGTTCTTCGAATTCGCTCCCAATTTCACTAGATTCTCGAATCATGCCTGGGAAAGGGAGATGGGAAAGGGAGATTCTGATAATTGACGACAACGCGAGGGAGTTGGTAGCTAATACTGTTAAAAAATTGGACGGAAGTGGCTATAAGCATAGGTTTCAAAACAGAACCCAACCCGACTAACCCGCCTCACTAACCTGACCCGCAACAAGATCGCAACCCGAATTGACTAAAATTCAATGACTCGTAACCCGCCCGACCCGCAACCCGATTGACTCGTGACCCGATTAACCTGTAACCCAAAAGCCCCGCAACACAATTGACTCGCAATCTGATTAAACTCGTAACCCGATTGGCCCGAACTCGGCTAACCGGTAACCCGCCCGATTGACCCGAATAATTACTATATTATATTATATAAAATTTCAAAATGAAGTTTGTTTGTTTTAAGAATAAGTAAAACTATTTTTTCATTTTATAAAAGAAATTCAAAAAATGATATTGGGTTGAAATTATGTATTTTTAATAAAATAAAAGAAGAGAAAGAAACAAGGGGGAGTTTTGATGCTTTGGTTTATAGGAAAAGAAAGAAGTGAAATTTTTTGGTATTTTCAACTTTTTGAGGAAAAAGAATAGGGAACTTTGGTGCTTAAATTTTTTAGAAAAGAAAGAAGGGGACTTTTGGTATTTTGGTTTGTAGGAAGATAAAGAAATGGAAAATATTGGTGTTTTCAACATTTTGGAGAAAAAAAATAGGAAAATTTGATGCTTCAAGTTTTGGGAAAAGAAAGAATGGACAATTTTTGTGCTTTGGTTTATAGGAAGTGAAAGAAGTGATTTTTTTTAATGTTTTCAACTTTTTGAGAAAAAAAAGAAGAGAAAAATCTAGTTCTTTAAGTTTTGGTGCTTTTGATTTATAGGAAGAGAGAAGAGTGGAAAATTTTGATGTTTTTTTATTTACGGAAAGAAAAGGAAATTTTTTTTGTATTTTCATCTTTTTAAGAGAAAGAAGAGAGAAAGCTTATCACAATTAGGGGTGG